TAACAGTTTTTTTTTTTTGTTGAAATTTTAATTAATTTATTCTCAATCTTTTTTCTTTTCTTTTCTTTTCCTCTCTGTCACCCAGGCTGAAGTGCAATGACAGGATCTCGGCTTACTGCAACCTCTGCCTCTTGGGTTCAAGCAATTCTCCTGCCTCAGCCTCCTGAGTGGCTGGGATTACAGGTATGTGCCTCTATGCCAGCTAATTTTTGTATTTTTAGTAGAGACAGGGTTTTGCCATATTGGCCAGGCTGGTCTTGAACTCCAGATCTTAGGTGATCCACACAACTTGGCCTCCCAAGTGTTGGGATTACAGGCATGAGCCACTGCACCCAGGCCTTATTTATTTTCTAATAAATGCACGTAAACCACACTTTTTCCTTTAAGTACCGTTTTGGCTTAAAAACACAGATTTAGTGATATGGTGCCCCTGAACTATTTATATTCAGATGTAATTTGTGCATTATATTTTTAAATTTTCTCTTAAAGAGGTATTAAAATGTTTTTGTCAATTTCCAGTTTCATTGCATTTCAATGAGGGAATATGGCCTAAATAGTAGCAGCTTTCTGGAATTTATTAAGATTTTCTTTCTGGCCTTGTGCATGGTCAATGTTTTCAGAATATTCCATTTGCGGTTAAAGGAATATGTAATCTCTGTTAGTTGACCAGAAAGGCGGAGGGGTGTGTGTGTGTGTGTGTGTGTGTGTGTGTGTGAGAGAGAGAGAGAGAGAGAGAGACAGAGAGAGAGAGAGAGAGAGAGAGAGAGATTATTAAGCTTATTATTTTTCAAAAATCCTCTTTTTATTTATTTCTGTTCTGTGAGAATTCTGTGAAAACCACCTACCAAGGTATTGAGGATCTAGGTTTTTCTGCTTGTAATGCTGTCAGGTTTCTGCCCTGTGTATTTTGAAGCTAAGATTTAAGTGCAACAAAAAAAGGATTAGCATTTGTTACCTATTGTTCATTTTTTAAATATGACATATCCCTCTCTTTGTCTTATTAAATGATTTGACCTTGAATTCCATTTCATCTGAATATTACCGTCTTTCTTTGTTTTTGTTAGCGTTTCCATTTTCCCCATTAATTTCTTTCTGGATTATTTCTTTTAGATGTGTCTCACTTAAAGAGCATACAGATGGAGTTCGCATTTTTATCCAACCAGAGTTTGTTCTTTTAATTAATGAGTTTAACCCATTCACATCTATTGTGATGCATGATAGTATAACTGTTTATACCATTTTTTGTTTTCTAGTTGCAATGCTTTTTAGTCATCTCTTTCCTCTTTTTCTTACATTTCGTTATACAATTTTTTTTATTTTAACCTTTGAAAATATGTAATTAAAGTTATATTTAAAACACGATCTGTAGTTATGTTGCCCCCACAAGTCAAACACCACACTTTTACTTCCCTCTGCTGCGTTTTATCAATTCCCTAAATTTTTTGTTCCGTGATTATTTTAAGGTATATACACAGTAGCATGCCCAGGTCTTAAGTCTGAAGCTCAACACGTTTCCAAGGTGCACACATCCATGATGAAAGAGCACTGCCAGTGCTCCCGAAGCCTGCCCTAGTCTCCTTCAGTCCCTTCCCTGCCCAAAGTAAACCAAGATTCTCATTTCCATCACTATCAATCCATATGTCCTGCTTGTCAGCTTTATCTACATGAACTTGTTATATCCATTCCCTTCTGTCTGGCTCCTTTTGCTCGGCCCTATGCTTCTGAGACTCATCCACACCAAGGCCTACAACAGTAGCATTTTTCTTGCGTTGTATAATATCACATTCTATGACTATTTCACAGGTTATCTCTTCTACTGCTGATAGACATGTGGGTTGATACCAGTTTAGGGATGTGTGAATAATGCTGCTATGAATATTCTAGTACCTATCATTTGGGTACAGTTATCTATGAATTCCCTTTGGATACATACCCAGAACATTTATGGATACTGTCAGTTTTCCAAATAGTGTACCCACAGTGTTATTTTTAATTTCTTAAACAATCAACACTTTTTTAGTCATCAAAAATGGCTTTTACTGTTTTATTTGGTCACCATTGCTTCTTTTTTTTTTTTTTTTTTTTGAGACGGAGTTTCACTCCTGTTACCCAGGCTGGAGTGCAATGGCGCGATCTCGGCTCACCGCAACCTCCGCCTCCTGGGTTCAGGCAATTCTCCTGTCTCAGCCTCCTGAGTAGCTGGGATTACAGGCACGCGCCACCATGTCCAGCTAATTTTTTGTATTTTTAGTAGAGATGGGGTTTCACCATGTTGACCAGGATAGTCTCGATCTTTTGACCTCATGATCCACCCGCCTCGGCCTCCCAAAGCACCATTGCTTCTTACATCCCATTTCTTTTGCAGGTCTTCATTTTTCTTCACTGGAGTGCATCTTCTATTATTTATTTACTTTAGAAAGTGCCTGTGGCACACACATTTACACAAAGTAAAATGTTTGGCTTCTTTCAAGCCTGAAAATGTCTTTACTTTGTCCTCACAATGAATGATAGCTTTAGAATAAGGAAAATATATAATTACAGGTTCAAAGTGATTTCCACTGAGAACTTTGAAGCTATTGTTTGTCTCTTGAGGGGTCCCTGGCAATCTTGGCATTTGTGCATTTCTTCAGGTTGGAGAGAGTTTTCTGCATTATTTTTTAGAAAATTTCCTCCCTTCCATTTTCATTATTCTCTCTTTCTAGCCTCTTATTCGATGGTTATTGCAATCCTCCCACCTTGGCCTCCCAAAGTGTTATGATTATAGGTATGAGCCACCATGCTCGGCTTTTTTTTTTTTAATGAAGGAAATATTCTTTGGCACCTCTCTGAAGTTATTAATTATTCAAAATTCCTGTTCTGTTTCTCTGTTAAATCTGATTCCCCAGGTACATGTTTTATTGTTGTTGAATGAATTGGGTATCTTTCTTTCATAATGTCAGTATTTATAGAATGTGGTGGAAAGACCTTCTAATAACTCACACTCAGGTTCTCAAGTCATCTCGTGGATTTGCCCAAGTGGCAACTGATGAAAGGTGTTCACTTTAGCTGTGTCTGGGAAGAAGAGTGCAGCTTCTGGTCCCAACATGCCTCTTCCCGTCCACTCTTCTTTCTCTTTTCTGTTCTTGGCACCTCTTCCCACTGCTTCAAAATAGTAACCCATTGAACCTTTCTTTACAGGTTGCTTTGTTCGGTGCCATTAGGGAGGGATTAGCTGGTGGGTTCTTGAGAGGCAAAGCTAGGCTGAAGTATCATACCTGGTGGCAGGGGGCAGGGAAGCAGAGAGAAAGAAGAAGAAAGCCAGGAAATGTAGAAATCCCTTGACTGTGCCAAGGGTTGAGCCAAGAAAATATGATAAATCAGCCAAACCAAGGTGCAGATGTGGCTGAAAAGGGAAGACCCAGCCTTGGTGGAGAAGCAGCATGGACACAAGTGAGCGTGGTGGGTTGTAGAGCCAGTCTGTCCCAGGTGGTTCCCATGGAGGGTGTTGAATGCTCACAGCTGACCTTGCTCAGCCACTGGGAGACTATGGACACACTGGGTTGGCCTGAAAGTCTTGGTAGGATGGGCAACAACTTCCAGCTCTAGCCCTACTCCTGCAGGCTGAGTCTTAGAACCTCACTTGCTGGACTCCCAAGTCTTCCTTGTTCTGCTTTTCATAAGAAAAGCCTTGTGTCTTTTGCCTCCCTGTGACTTGGATAAGTGCAGGATAATCCAGGATTCACAGACTTTGTAAATGAAGAAAACTCCAGATCTTCCTCCAAGCCCAGCTTTGATATCTTTGCGGCTTGGAATTTCAGTCCTGTGTGTGACATAAACATCTTGTCTGCCAGACCTAAGAAATTCACCCACACTCCCTGGCTGCTGAGTTTTCTTTCCTGAGCCTATAGATGTCCTTCGTCATAACCTGACAAAAGAGACGCTCTGAGCCTGTCTGTTAGGTTTTCCAGTCTATGGGCTTGCTGCCCGTTACTGTCATCTGTCAATTCATGAAGCAGTCGTATGCATCTATCCTGTGGGCCGATTTTATTTAGACACTAATTCTTGTATTCGTTAAAAAAGAAAGAAGGCAAAGGCAGGAAGCAGCATACTCAGATCTCTCAGAAAATTCTCAGCTGCTCCACACGTCACAGTTGAAGGATGAGAAGCACAAATAACGCTGCGAGATAAATAAATGTATAATTGAAAGCACATGGAGTGGAATCATCAAGTTCCTCATCTCCCAGTGACTCCCAGTTTCTGATCTGTCTCCAGATACCAGAACTTGTAGAAACCAGCTGCATCTCCAATAACTATTGCTCTGCTTCTTTTGCCAGCAGACAATACCTCTGCCGTGGAGGAATAAAATACGTTCTTGTAGGTGAAGTGGTTTCTGCAAGTGAATAGGAACCAAATCTAAGAGGCCAACCTCCTGGCTCCAATTTTATGGGGCCATTGTGGAGTTCCTGGGAGAAGGGAAGGAGCTGTGGTCTGCTGAGGTGCCCCATGCTGTCCCCCTTCCCTCCTGCAAGCATCCTTCTCTTCACTCTCCAGCCGTCTCTCACTTCATCCCATCTCCCTCCAGTGTCTCTCCCCACTTCCAGTTCTGCATCCCTCCTGACCACTCACTAACATGAGGGCTCCCCCAGGTCCCAGCTTCCCCGGGTCTCAGTTTCCTTGTCTGTAAAATGGGGATAATTAAGGTAGAGAATCTACAGAGAATCAGAGGCAGCTGTGAAGCTTCAATGCGTTCCAGCTGCAAAGCGCTTAGTGTTGTTAGTTTCTATGGTTCCCATTTAGGAAGATGCCTTCGCAGCCTCTCTCACTTCAGGAGCCTCAGGCTGCCTTCGGCCAGCATGGTGGATCTCAGTCGTGCCCCCAGGACACTGGTGAAGAGCAGCGTTGGCTTCGCCTCTCCCTCTTCATCCCTGCATCCACAACAGGCATTTCTGCCCGGCTTTGGAGTTCACAGTGTGTGTTCTTATACATTCCCTGGGAATCTGTGTCATCCTCTTCATTTTAAGAGGAAATCAAGACCTGGAGGTGGAGGCACCAAGCTGGAACACAGCTCCCCTGGGAGCCGCTCTGGGCAGGGCTGCCCCGCCCTGGCGGTTCTGGGTCCCGGTGGGTGGCCGACAGCGGGAAGTACCTCCCACGTCCCCGTCGCCCGCGCGGGGACTGCCACTGCCCACCAGTGGGCAGCCCAGGCCAGACCCTCTGAAAGACCTCGCATTGTCTGTTTCCCAAGAAGCCGCAGTGCCACCTCGCGGCCGCCTTCAGAAGTGCATGCTGCGACCTGGCGAGAAGCCCTGCGGGGAGGTACCTCCGTCCAGCCCAACCGGCTGCCTGCCTGGCAGGCGAGGAAGAGCGCGTCCCTGCCGGGCCCACGCTGCTGAAAGTGGAAACGGGTTCTGCAGGATGCTTCGGCGTGCACCGAATTCGCTCAAGAATCCTCTACTTGCCAGGCTCTGTGCCCTGGGATGGGGGCGCAGAGAGAGGAACGTGGGGTCGTGGAGAGGAGTGCCCCTGGCCTTAGCTCTAAGAGGTGGAGGAATCGGAGAGGCAGAGGCCAACCACAGGACCTCCGCCTGAGGCCAGCTGTCCTGAGTGCTGGGATCCGAGCAAAGGGCCGAGCGCAGCCGCGTACACAGAGGGGCCCATCTCCTGCCCCAGGGTTTCCTTTTGTCTGCCTGCCTGTTCCGATTGACAGGCATCTTGCATCTTGGGCGTGCAACTTCCCGGCCGCGCAAGTTGTTCAAGAAACCCAGAGGCAGGTGTTTCCCGGGGGCTCTAAGCCGACAGCTCTTAGAGTGAGACGTTGTTGTGAGCAACGTCTAGCTGCTCACAGGGCCCGAGTCTCTGCCCCACCCTGTGTAAGAACCCGAGGCCGCATGGCTGCTCAGGCCACCCCCAGCCAGACTCAGCCCTATTCCTACAGAGAGGTACCCTCTGGGGCCCGCCACCCTTCCCTCCGAGGACTTCTCTGAAAGCCTCTGGCTCCAATAAAAGAAGGCAGCAGAGTCCCAAACCCCTTTTTCCTGGCAAACTCTTGGCCCTTGGATGAATTTGCTGCCCCCTTCTCCCTGGAGTTGTATATTAAGGACTCTATGGAAGGGCAGGCATTTCCAAGTCAGAGAAAGCGAGGGTCCATCTGCACCCTTTCTCAGAACAAGCAGTGCCAGCCTGCCTTGCATTTATACAACTTAAGGAGATTCCAGAGATAATAAGGCAAGTCTGTTCCAAGGTGACTTAAGGTTTCCATTTGCAGACGAGGGAGCAGCTGGTATAATTCTAAGTTTCCGCCTGAGCAGGCACTTCCATTACCCTCAGAACCCCCATGCTTGGTTTCTGGAAAGATCAACTTCAGCAAGGAAGCGGGGCACGGGTGGGGGGCTGACTCTTCTTTCCCTTGACAGCCTCAGTCGGAGCCCTCAGCTGCCACCATGTGCCGCACAGGGAGAGTCTCCAGCGATGGACTGAATTCCAGTCTGATGGCCACACTAGGACCATCCAGAGACTTCCTTATGTGTGGAATATGGGGAAATGAACACAGCAATGTCTGCACTACACAGAAGTCTAGATTTCTCACCTAGGAAATGGTCCATTTCCGCCCGGGTCACAGAGGAAAAAAGATCTGGCTGGGTGCAGTGGCTCAGGCTTGTAATTCCAGTGCTTTGGGAGGCTGAGACAGAAGGATGGCTTGAGGCCAGGGGTTCTAGACCAGCCTAGGCAACATACTGAGACCTCATGTCTAGAAAAAAAGAAAAATCAGGCAGGTGCAGTGGCATGTACCTGTAGTTCCTACAGGAACTACATGGAAGGCTGAGGTGGGAAGATTGCTTCAGCCCAGGAGTTTGAGGCAGCAAAGACCTATGAGTGTGTGTGTGTGTGTGTGTGTGTGTGTGTGTGTATATATATGTGACTATATATATATAAAATTTAAGCATCTTACATTGCATTTTTCTGTTACTTGCAATATTAATAGTAATATTTGAAAAATACGTATATGCATTTATTTGTATACACACGTGTGCACATATATCTATGTCTATATGTATAATAAAATTTCCCACAGTATGGGACAATAAGGTAAAAAGGTTTTAAAAAATGAGAGAAAAGATAAGAAACCATGAAAATCAATCCATGTAGCTTCCTAGCTACACAGAAGGCTGAGGTGGTAAGATGGCTCGAGCCCAGGAGTTTGAGGCAGCTATGAACTATGATTGCATCACTGCACTCCAGCCTGGACAACAGAGTAAGATTCTATCTTGAACAAAAAGAAAGGAAAGAAAAGAGAGCCTACGTGGGAAGAGAAGTAACTTTTTGCTAACTTTAAAAAATCCTTATTTTCTAACCCCACAGTAGGTTGGTTCCAAAAGTAGCCGTGGTTTTGCAGCCCTCCTTGCGTCTGTGTTCTCAGCCTGTGACTGTGTGGTAACTCCCATAAAGATGCAGAATGTATTTCTCACCCGTTGGATCTAAGCTGGCCTGTGACTAACTGGTTCACAGAATGTGGCAGAAAATAGACAATTCATTGAAAGATAAGTTATACTTATGATGGCAATGACAGCCCATCTGGAGTGGCCACTTTGAGGATGCTGGCTGCAGCAGGGAAGGTATGGCTGGGGCTGTGTGCTGTGCAGAGCCAGTGGGAGGCAGGCAAGAGCCCTGCCCCCTACCTAGTTGGCAGGGCAGGAGCCCGTGCTCCCCAGTGCAGCTGCAACAGCCCAGCAGTGGCTCCCGTCCCCAGTATCCCTGTGTTCTTGGGGCCCCAGGAGGCCTCCTGCCCTGGGAGGCTTGAAAGTACCTGCTCCCACTCCCTGGCCCCTCCCCACTCCTGGTGCCCGCTCCAGGGTGGAGCAAAGTTGTGGCCCAGTCAGATGTCACAACTTGGTCAGATGTGCATGTGCTAACGGCAGCACTGACATATCAACCCCCAGACACCTTGGCCCCCTCCAGACTTTGGGCACCAACAGGCATAGGAGGGGGGCTGAGGGGGACTTGGCACAGACCTGTGGGCACCTCTTGCTGCAGACAGCCTGGGTGCCATGAACAGTATGTTAATGGAAGACAAATTCCTGGGCAGGAAGGGGTGGATCCCCAGGGAAACCCCACCTTCAAGCCAAGGATGGCCTGATGCCTGGGAGCCAGGCTGCCACATCTGGGTGAAGTCCGGCCCAGAGTGAGAAATTATGGTGCTTTTTCCAGGCCTGCCTGTGGCCACCTATGGACCAATCAGCATGCACTTCCTCCCTTCTGATCCCATAAAAATCCCAGCCTCAGCCAGCCTCAGAGACTCAGACCTGCCTGTGGAAAGGAGCTATCTACTGTGGGTCTCCTCTCTACTGAGAGCTGGACACTCACTGGGACAGCCTGCCTGCAGGAAGGAGCTGCCCACTTCGGGCTTCCTGAAAGCTGTTCTGTCACTCATAAAGCTCCTCTCTGCCTAGCTCACTCCCCGGTTGTCCATGTACCTCATTCTTCCTGGACACAGGACAAGATCTTGGGAACCACTGAATGGCAGGACTGAAAGATTTATAACACAAATAGGGCTGAAACATATGCTCCTACTCACCACATTGTGGGCAATAAGAAGGAGAGAAGAGCTGCTGCCCTTTGGGGAGCCTAGATGTAAGGGTTCCCTAAGCCAGGCCTGTGATAATCTCTTTGGGGCTCTGCAGTTTCAGGCATCTCCAAACTTCTGAGTGCCACAGAGTTCCCCTTGTACAGATGCAGGTTCCTGCAAAAGAAGCCACTTGCAGTAATCTGAACCAGCCACAGCCTTGCACAGAGCTGGTGCCTGGAGCTGTATGCCCCACCACAGCGGCCGGTGTGTCACAACCCAGCTGTATGCAGTGGCCAGACCCCACATGTGCTCACTCAAGTGCCCCTCACCACTCCAAGCCTGGCTCACTCTTGGCAGGTGTGGGATCTGGGCTGGTGGTGTGAGCTGAGTGCAGCCTGCTGGGCTGAGGGTGTGGAATGAGTCCAGTAGGCTGAGCAAAACTTGGGCAAAGGTGTGGACAGCCACAAAGTTTTCCAGCTGGAAAAGGCTCCTGTGACGCTTTGATGGGGCTCATCTGGGAAGGGTGAGTAAAAGCAGACTTTCTGCTTTTTGTCCTTTTATCAGAGTCCCTAAATTCCACAATATCCAAAATGAAAGAAAAACATGGAGCCTCTGTTGGCCAGTTAAAAGCAATTAGCATGGCTACCAGACTTAAGACGCAGTGGACCGGCTTGCTGGGGAGGACACTTCAATCTCCTGTCACCCTCGGATGCTGGCAATGTTCCAATTCAATTTCCCTTCACAGAGGTCTAGCCATTGCATGGGATTGGAAGGAGGTCCTGGGGCAACGGAGCGTATCCAGCTGAGGCCACATCTCCATCCTATCCAAAGGCTCCTGGATTAACTCCAGTTCCTAACTGCCCATTAGGGTGTGGGCACTAGGACCCCCAGTCTTACCTATCACACTTTCTTTCTTTCACAACTGACCCAGCTGCCAGCCTCTTCTTTATATACAATGTTAAATGTGCTGTTGCAAACCACAGACAAAAATATTACAGGGTAGAATGAGCATTTGGCTTAGTCATCAGGAACGTAAATCCGAAGAAAGTTGTATCTGCCTATTCTTAGAAGCAAGGAAGATCTAACTGTTGAGAGTTTTCTTCCCCCTGTTGAGAGAACCCACATGCACAGGGCAAAAGGCTTTTTCCCCAGGCACCCTCCCCTCCTCTGCATTTATGTTGTTGTTTTTTTTCTCTTTCCTCCACCAAGTCAGGAGTCAATAAAGTCCTGCAAATACAGGGAGCATTTCTATTTATTTTTTCCTCTTGGGAGGCACCTTGTTAGGCCAAGTCCCTAGTTCCCAGAATTCCCTTTATCTCCCTTGTTTGAGGAGGACCTGATCCCACAGCTTCACCTGTTTATGGTAGGGAAGCAACAGAGAGGCTGCTCTGCCAGTTGCTGGCTACAATTTGGTGAGAGCCACCTGGGACTAATTTAATGGATCCATATACCCTCCTGAGACACCTTTTTGTCCCAAGCTTTGGTTTGAGGCCCTAGAAAGGAAAACTAGCTCTAAGGGACCCAGAGGAAGATGACAGCAAAAGTCTAGGGGCAGAGTGCAGGTGAGCATGACTAATTCCTGCCAATTAGGGCCTCCCACTTAACAAGTGGAGGTCATGGCATAGATGAGGTCTAGGGAACTGAGAGGCTACTGACAGTGGGAGGCTTAGGCAGCACATAGGTGAGTGCATCCTGAATCACTGGGACCCTTTGACCATCAGACTCTGGAGAGAGAGAAAAAATGCCTTTTTCCTCCTCTGTCTCCTTTTTCAGATGGTAACCAGTCATCTTCAGCCTACACTCCTCTAGAGCGCATCCTGAATCAGCGGGACTCCTTTCATCTTGAGACTCTGTAGAAAAAGTGCCTCACATTGCTTTGCACAAAGGTGTGGCTATGTTCTCCAGGAAGGAGAAGCATGGCCTCAGGAAGGACGCATTAATTTCAGTAACATTCTGCAACTGTACCTTTTCTGTAAATGTGAGGGCAAATGTCCAAAGCCCCTTATGTGTAGGCTTCCTTGACTTGTAGGGTAATCTAGACCTTTGCCAACATTGCAGCTGGGCCCTGCCCTAGAGTCTTCCTGCAGCAGGGCTCTCTCCAGAGGGGCTGTGAATGTTTCCCCAGGGTGGGGCTAAGCCAGAGCCCAGAGGTTTGCCCTTGGAGCACGGATCCTCCAGGTCACTCGCCCCCACCTCGGGCTGCAGTGAAGGATGCTCTGAGGGGAGGATGGCCAGCTCCTCCCCTGCAAGGATAGGAGCCCAGGGAAGGCATTCCTGCTCTGGAGACTGCCTCCCTCCCCCACATCAGAGCTAGCCCTCTCAGAAGCCAGGCCAAGCTGACCACTCCGTCTTTGATCTCTGCCAGGGAGTCCAGAGTCCCAGTAGAAGACTGTCTAAAAGAATATAAATAAAAATAGAAGGATAAAGGGGACATTTTTCTTGTTCTGTTTCCTTTCTTTTTCAGTTCTTGCAAACTCTGAGTTCTGCTCAGGCTAATAGAAAAGTCATCTTTATGCTGCCTGAAGTAATTGTCTCATGTTCCCTTTTCCTTCTTAGAGATCTTCTAGACAGCATCAACTAGATCGCAGCCACCTGGCCCCTGCTCACTTCAACAGCATTCATTTCTCATCACCTCTGCTCATTTTTGGATCCTCCAGCATTTCCCCCAAATGCATAAGCCTTCCCCTTGCTTCTGTGGTTCAGCTGGGCCGCCTCCCTCTGATACCCTCTTCCAGTGCTTATCATCTGGGCCAACGGTTCTTCAGTTCCGGCTCTAGTATTATTCCTCTCTATAGAACTACTTGCCAATTTGCATTCCTTATTTTTGACATCTCTCCTCGAAGGGCTCTGATCTCCTGAAGATAAGTGCTATCTTTCCTGTGCTTATTCTCTAACACTTAGCACAGATTGAGGTGTTAAGGAAGTGCTTGTGGAGTCAAGACATGAAATAGGCTACGTGGGCCAGGGAAAGAGGAGTGGCAGGAGGCAGTCCCTGAATATCGTGATCTGTACTCCACCTCCTGGATTTGCGGCTCCCTGGATGAGCAGAGTAGGAAGAAGAGGAATTTGAGATCCCAGCCTGTCACATGAAGACAAGAGGAGAAGCAAATTACAGTAATATATGTTCTGGTAAGTTGTGAATCACTCGTTCATTCATTCAGTAAAACTATATTGCGTGCCTCCTATTAGCTAGGCACTGTGGTAAGCTCTGGGGCTACAGCTGTGGCCCAGAGTGATGAGGCCCTTTTCTCAGGGAACTCACGTTCCAGTTGAGGTGATGGAGGCAGGGGTAGGGCAGGCAACAAGCAAGGAAACCAGAAATTATAAGAGGTTGTTGAAAATAGTACATGCGTCATGAATGGACTAGAACATGTGTGAAATGATGGAAATTAGGGGCTACTTCATTTTGGGTACACAGCACAAGGTACTTTAAGGAGGTAACGTTTAAGCCAATAGTTGGCAACAAAGAGCCAGACTTGCTGGAGCAGGTGTTAGTCCATTGGGATTGTTATAACAAAGTGCCATAGATGGGGTGTCTTATGAACAACAGAATTTTATCTCCCAGAGTTCTGGATGCTGGAAGTCTGAGATCAGGGTGTCAGCATGTTGCTTCTGATGAGGGTCCGCTTGCCAATTTCAGCTGAAGGTCTCACTGTGTTCTCACATGGTGGAGAGTGAGCTAGCTCTCTGGCCTCTTCTTAGTGATACTAATTACTGGTACTATTCCCACTCTCAAAGACCCACCCTCATGACCTAATTACCTCATAAAAGTCTTAACTTTCAAATACCATTACATTAGGATGACAGTTTCAACATATGAAATCTGGGTGATACAAACATTCAGTCCATTGTAGGAGACAGCATCCTAGACTGATAAAGCTAAAGATGTAAAGACCCTAAGGCAGGAATGGTTTTGATGCATCTGAGACACAGGGAGAAAGCCCGCGTAGCTGAAGCAGAGTGAACCCGAGGGACACTTTGTTAGGGGATGACAGCCTAGAGGTAGGCAGGAACTGGCTTACACCTGCTGGTCCTGTGCTTGGGTGTCTCTGTTTCTTGGGGTTTTACTCACCCACTGTGGTGAAGGGGGCTGTAAGTCACTGCAGGCAAGTTCAGCTCCGAGTTCTCCCACCCACCCACCAAAATGGACAGAGGATTTCTGTTCTTGAGGTTTCAGGGTCTCTTTGTTGGAGACAGCTCCGGAATTCTATGTTAGAAGGGAACTGACGAGTAGCAACCTAGGAAACTCATCTTAAAGGTGCATTGCAATAGCAAACGCAATGTATTTATTTAGTTTGTGTGATCTAAACTTTTTAAAAAATATCAATCTTTCATATTCACACTTCCCATAAAAAATGAGAATGTATATTTTAAGGTGGTTTAAAGGGGCTGTTGGGGATTATTAGGAGTAAACGACATTGCACAGAGGCCATCTCCGAGCGGCATCACCAAGACTGTGTGATGTCTGGACGCGCGCACAACCTGGAGATAAAGAGGCTCGCGCTTGGTAAGCGCCCTTTTGCGAAGGGCCGGTGACAGGACACCTGCGCGGTGGGCGGCCGGACAGCCCAGTTCGCATGCGCGGGGCAGTGCCGGGGCGGGGTCGGAGTTGGGGGCGGGGTCGGAGTTGGGGGCGGGGTCGGAGTTGGGGGCGGGGTCGGGGTCGGGGGCGGGGCGAGCAGCGGCCTCGCGGATTCGTGCGGGTGTGGAGCGTGGGCAGCAAGAGCAGCGTTCGCCACACCTCAGCCCGGGTCCCGGCACCGCCGCCTTCTGCGTTTCGGTTTGTGAGCGGGCCCGGCCCGGCCGGGAGCGAGAGCGAAACCCTGGAGCAGTCGCCACGGCCGCCGCCTCAGGCGCCGAAGTCACCGAAGTCGCCAAAGTCGCCGAAGTCGCCGAAGTCGCCGGGTCCGGGAAAGGCAGGCGATGCCCCCAACCGCCGACCGGGCCACGTCCGCGGCGCGCGCGTGGCGTCGCCGCCTGAGCGCCGCGCTCGCCTGGCGTCCCCCGGGCCCAGCAGCTCTTCCGAGGCCCGTGAGGAGCTGCGCCGCCGCCTTCTGGGCCTCATCGAGCGCGGCGGGGTGGTGATCTTCAGCAAGAGCTACTGTCCCCACAGCACGCGGGTAGGCGCGACCCGACCCGCCAAACGGACGCCACCCTGGGCAGGGAGGGTCCGGGCCGGGGCGCCCGCGGGTCTCGGGCTGGGGCGATGGTGTCGGTCGCCCGTCCTTTCCTCTCCCCGGGCTTCCACTGAGGTGGGCTTGTGAGAGTTTATCGAAATAGAAACACTCCTAATTGCGTGACCTAGACCCGGGTTAGGACCCTATGCCGAGCCTCGGTTCTGCCTTCTTGTGAAACGAAGGTACGGGAAGGTTGTGAGGATGACTGAGCTTATTTCAGCTTCATTGCACACTGCCTTAACTTTTTGGGGCGGGCTAGGAATCTGGCATTATTTCTAAGGACAGATGTATTCTGAATTCAAAAATACTTCACTTAGAAACGAGCCTTTGGGTGACAACCTACGTGTAAGGTAGGGACCTTTAACCTTTAAGAATTTACTTCATTTTACAGAAAGTTTAAATAATGATATGTGGAAGACCGTATACGAAAGCATAAACTATTGGGTTGAGTTCATGAAATTATCGGCTGTTTTTCAAATATATTTGAAGTTTATGTGTATAGTTTCTTAAAACATGTATATTACGCAAATACATTTTTAAGAAAAAGTGACATTAATTACTGTAGAAGCTTCCTTGGCTGTCTCCTCTCTCCCTCAGGATTAACCATTATGCAAATTTTCTCTTTTTTTTTTTACATTTTAACCAAATACATATACATTATTAATCAATATTTGGTTCATTTTAGCCTGTTTTGGGACTTGATATAAATAGAACCATACATACATATGTATTCTTCTGCAGTTTTCTTCCTCAACAGTTATGTTTCAGAGATTCATGCATGTTAGTATCTGTAGCTGGGATTCATTAATTTTCATTGCTGACTATTCCCTGTAATGAATCATATCATAGTTTATCATTCTGCTGTTTCTAGTGTTTTGCTCTGAAAAAACAGTACAGCTATATGCTTATTCTTGCACATAACTCCCAGTGCACATAAAAGACTTACTCTAGGATCGATATCTTGAAGCTGAGTTACTGGGTCATAAAGGATGCGTGATTTCTATCTTAGCAAGGTAATGTTCGACTGATTTTCCAAGTGGTTATACCAATTTACTCCCCTCCTAGTTTATAACAGTTCATCTTGCTCTACATCCTTGCTGACAGTTGATATTTTTAATTTTTGCCATTCTGGCAATTTTGAAATGGTATCCCATTATGGTTTAATTTTGCATTTCCCAGATGAAGTCCAGTATGTTCGTGGGTCGTTTGAGGTTCCTTTTCTATGAAATTATATAGTGTGCTTTTCGCTTTTTTCAGGCCTTTTGACTATTTTCCTATGTTGTGGTTTTTAGTTGTTTGTCCTGGCTTGTAGGTGTTCTTTATATATTTAGGATGCTTATCCTTTGGTTATATATACAGTAAGTGCTCACTCAACATTGTTAAGAGGTTCTTAGAAACCAACCTTAAGCCAAATGACATGTAATAAAATCAGTTTTATTGTAGGCTAATTGATAGAAATAAGAGTTAAGTTTCTATGGCGTATTTCTGGTCACACACAAAAAAATTACCAAACTTTTAAATAAAGACCCAAAACACGTCTAATATTAAACATTGAAATAAATGTGAGCTATGCATACATTTAAGAGAGAGTAATAAGAGCGGGGAAGAAAATTATTTACCCAATTTCTGGTGAATCAGGAGAGGTAGGTTTCTAGCGGTCATAGGTGAAATCAAGAGTATTTGCAAAGCAGAATTTTAAGGGCCACCTCATGCAACTGGGCAGTTCAAAAACAAAATTGCAAATATGGAGCGTGCACTGTTGAATGTTTTCCCATTGCATTTGTTATTGTTTGCCTCTATATGATTATTGTCTACTTATGAAGTTTTGTTTGGCAATAATTCGTATTGGCTTATTCATTCCTTTTCCAACCCACTTACTCCATTTCAGGATTGCCACTGGCCAGAGCCTACCTTGACAGCTTAGGGTGCTAGGTGGGAGCCAAACCTGGCTAGGACACCATCCTGTTGCAGGTGCACTCACACACACACCCCCATACTCTCTGCAGCTAAGAAAATGTAGAGACACCAATTTGCCTAACGTGCACATCTTTAGGATATGGGAGGAAACTGGAGTACCTGGAGAAAACATGAAAAGAATGTGCAAACTCTACTTGACAGTGGCCCTGGCTGGGAATAGTTTTTTTAAACATTGTTGTAATAGAATAATGTTACTTGAGGACCTGGCTGCTGTAGAAAATCTGTCAAATTTAGCTTCCTTTTTCCCTCTTTTTGTGGAATTGATACGGTTTGGATCTGGGTCCCCATCCAAATCTCATCCCCAGTGTAATCCCCAATGCTGGAGGTGAGGCCCGGCAGGAGGTGATTGGATCATGGGGGTGGATTTCTCATGAATGGTTTAGTATCATCCTATTGGTACTGTCCTCATGATAGTGAGTTCTTGTGATATCTGGTCATTTAAAAGTGTATAGCATCTCCCTACCTCACTCTGTTGCTCCTGCTCTTGCCATGTGAATTATTGGCTCCCCTTTGCCTTTTGCCATGATTGTAAATTTTCTGAGGCCTCCCAGAAGCCAAGGAGATGCCAGCATCCTGCTTCCTGTAGAGTCCACAGAATCGTAAGCCAATTCAGCCTCTTTTCTTTATACATTACCCAGTCTGATATTTCTTTATGGCAATAGAAGAACAGACTAATGCAAGGATCTTTTGGTTAACTGAAGTTGGTAAGTTTAATGTATTTGCTTCTATCATTCTTTTCCTTTTATGGTTGCTTTTGGTTTCTTATTTAGGAAATCCGTTTCAATTCAGAGGTCATAAATATATTCTCGTGTTTTAGCTCCTAAAAATTGAATAGTGTACTTTTCATACCCATCTTCTTGAAGTATACCTGAAATTGATATTGGTAATATGAGTGGGGATCCGGTTTGTTTTCTTCTTTGTGACTTATCAGGTGTTCCTGTTTCAGTTATTGAAGACTCCATTCTTTCCACACTAGTTTGTATGCTCACTCATCATTAATCAGGTTCTCATGTGTGTGTTGGTCTATTTCTGGGGTCTGTTTTCTATCTATATTTTTTAAGAGTTGTCCTTTGTAGTTTGCAGAAACAAAAAAGAGATCAGAACTGTGTCTGTCTACTGCTGTGTTACTAGGGCATAGACAATAGTGCCAGGCACATAATATGTGTTGAATGATCTTAAATCATTTTAGTCACATCTTTGCTGATACAGAACATCTTAGGATAAATGATCCTCTATCCTGTGTGTATCAGCATTTTCAGTAATGTAGCCATGACTTTGAGTCTCATTACATATTTGGACAGCTCTAATTATTGGATTGTTTTTAAATGAAGCAAAATCTGCCTCCCTGAAATGTTTCTTCATTCTTGGAGGTGAGCATTACTCCAGTGGGCAGAATTAAGAACCTTGCTTCTGCTTGGAGGGCAGATCTTCCAGTACTTTCACTAAGTGCTTTTCTTGCTTGGCCGAGCAATCTGCTTTCTTACATGTCTGTCTTTACGTGTGGCCACTCACTAACTTGATTGTACAGTTTTGTTTGTTTTTTTTTTTAGCCCGTGATCTTCTTAAATGTATCCCCCAAAAGTAGACACCATATTCCACATGTCCTTATCCTTGCAGAGTAAAGGAGTGAGATCTGTTTCTTGATTGGGCTGCTAATGGCATTTAACAAGTATTATTGGGTGCTTAGTGTTGCAGAGACACAGAAATGAATAAACCTTTGTTTTTCCTCCCACAAACTCATAGTCTAATTGAGCTGTAATCAACCAGCTCACATGTGTAGAGAAAAGTGCATAAGAAAAATAAGAGTTGTGGGAATAAGAGGTAAAACAGTGGCTTCTGTGGAGGATCAGAACAGTCTAAGAAAATGACTGGTCTTTGAGGGATAAGTTAGAGTCTGTAGGTAAGAAAGTATCTAATTAGGAAATTAGTATCAGCAAAGATAGATTATGATAAAAGGAAAATAGTATGGGTGAGCGCAAGGTATATGAAAGAAATCAGGAGGATTCACTGGAAAATGGCTGGAAGTTTAGTTTCAAAGGTGATTTAAGGAGGTCTTTTTTTTGAGATGGGGTCTTGCTGTGTTGCCCAGGCTGTAGTACAGCAGCTTGATCTTGGCTCGCTGCAACTTCTGCCTCCTGGCCTCAAGTGATCCTTCCACATAAGCCTTCCAAATGACTACGGGCTCATGCCACCACACTTGGCTAATTTTTGTATTTTTTATAGAGACAGTGTTTCACCATGTTGCCCAGGCTGGTCTTGAACTCCTGCGCTCAAGTGATCTACTTGCCTGACCTCCCAAAGAGTTGGGATTACAGGCGTGAGCCACTACGCCTGGCCAAGGAGGTCTTAAAATGCTTGTGAATGAGTGTGGACTTGATGTGGCAAAGAAAAGTCATCTCATAGTTGTGAGCAGGGTCTGACCTGTGATTTGAAATTTTTCCGTGTTCCCTGCTCACACTTCCATTCTGGAAATGGAACCTCTGGATCTTACCTTGAGGGCTGAGGGCACTGAAGGCTTTTAAGAAATGTGGTGAAAAGTGCTTTTAAATGACCACTTTGGATGTAATTTTCAGAAGTGGGGAGGACAAAGCTGGTGCAGAAATAATTTGTAGGATATTACTGAGAATTTCCAGTAGTCAGTGTTGATGGCTCAGGTTAAGATAGCAACTATGGAGAACTAGATAGATGAACCAGTTCAAGAGAGAATTGTGAAAACTTTGTAATGACAATGGATGGCTGGGGAGTTCATGTGGGATAGGAAGATGTTGCATGAGAGGGAGGCATGAAAATGATTCCCAGTTAGAGCTTTGCAGTTGCTAAGGTGCAGATTCTGCTGCAGGTCCTGATTTTGTATGTCTGGTAAGCTCCTGGCCTTTGTGTTCCTCTTTCCTCTGTTTGAGTAAGTAGCAAGGCTGTAGTTGCTCTTATTTAATCAACTGGAGATGGTGCTATAAGTTAAATTGTCACTTGTCTGTTTCCCCTGCTAGAGGGTAGAGATTGCATGTTGTTCCTTGTTCTCTTGAGTACTTAGAAATGTAGATGACCCATTCAAAGTGTTTGACAGATAAAAATTTGTTTAATGATTTAATGACTGTTGAAAGGAAACACAGGAAGAGGAAATGGTACATGGAAGGAGAAGAGTAGCATTGTGGGTATGTTGCCTGTGAGATAGATGCCTGTGGAACACACAGGTGGAAAATAGATACTGCCTATCTTGATTCAAAAAAGAGATTTGGTCGAAAGTTGTAGACTTGAAAGTCATAAGGAGACAGTAAAAAGGAGGCAAGGGGTGGCCTGAGATTATTCTGGGAAAATGTGTAGAGGAAAGGAAAATTAAAAAAAAAAATGAAAACCACCCATTGGCTAGAACTCCTGTTCCTCCAAAACGTTTATTTTTGACATCTCTCATTACTGTGTTCATATTTCACAGCTGTTGCATCTTTTGTGAGAGTGAAACTTAGCTTAATTTTTGTTTCAGGTGAAAGAACTCTTTTCTTCTTTGGGAGCTGAATGTTATGTCTTGGAACTTGATCAAGTTGGTAAGTAGACCAGTTACTATACAGTGTTATTTATGATAAATGCCAACAAGATTGACTTCTTTCCATTTACTTTGTTCAATTCAAATTATTCTTGTCTCCGGGTTAGATGAGGCATTTTTGTCTACATTCAGCCATGCAGAAAATGAACGCTTATGTGGCAGATAAGTTGGTGTAGGTTTTTTATTTATATATTTTACATATTTGAGGGATGGGAGTAGGGGGAAGATATATAAGCTGCTCCCTTTGAAGTACTTGAGGCGTTTCAGCTGTATCTGCCAGCTCTCTAGCAGAATAGATTAAGCTGTAGCAAATGAAAAGAATCCACTCCCATTTCCTGGCTGTGTCATCCACCAGGGAGAGTATATGAAGTTTTTAGCTTTATACTTTTGAATTCTTGGCATTCATATATCTAATGTTAGTTGAGCACTTTACACATAAGGAGTTTTTCAGGGGTGAGGGCATGGTGATGGACAGAAAAAGTTTGATTTCTGCCTTCATAGAACCTCAGTGACTCATTTTAACCAAGTTGCCTTAATGAATGAAATGCCGTTGAATCTTGGAGACTTTCTAAAGTGTATACCAATAAGGTAGTCTTAAGTAGTCATGGACCAGTTTTATTTTTAGGGGTGGAAGAGAAATTTTGGACTATGATCATAAACATTTTAAAATGTAATTGTAAGAAGTATTTTCTGAGTTATTATTGTTACAGCAGATTTTATCTTGATATTTGCTCGTTAAAGAGGGCTCTTATCTGTTTGTCTTGGCATAGTCACTGAATAATATATCAAAATCTAATTTTGAAGGGTTTATCTTAAATGAACTAGTAGATCTTTATTTTTGAAGATTTTCTTGGCAAGCATGGATGTTTTCCCCTCGAGTTATTTCATAAAGTTATATAACACACTGACCTATTATGGTATGTACATGTGAACATTTGAATGTTGTAACACTTTAGTTAACTCACAAAGATTTGGAACTCATTTCAGTGTTTTTACATATAGTTTTTTCTTCTTTAGATGATGGGGCCAAGATTCAAGAAGTGCTGTTAGAAATCACTAATCAGAAAACCGTGCCCAATATTTTTGTGAATAAAGTGCATGTAGGTGGATGTGACCAAACTTTCCAGGTAATAATAGCATTGTATATTCTTCAGTGCTGTTTGTTCACGTTTTTAAAAAGCATCTAAAGAGGAGAAAATGGTTTTTGGCAGTCCACTCATCTTTTGGAAATTGTAAAATGAGGCATATAGGACAATTATCAGATAACATTGATTGCATTAAGGGAAATTAGCTTTTCCGGAAGCTAGGATTTTTGTGTGAGGACACCAGGAAAAACAGGTGGGCCACCGAGAGGACATCCCAGGTCTTTTTCTGCTGATGGAGAGTGAGAACATTTTACTCATTGCCCAGTAAAAAGAGGTCAACTCTGACATTTTTGTCTGGGGCAGTTAGAATTCCTGTTAAGGCTGCTAACCCTGGGGTGCTTTGCAAAGGCCTATGGCTTTTGATTTTTTGATTCCTAGAATGCTATAAATGAACAGGAGTTGTTAGGTAAGCAGTGATAGATAAAAATTGATGTTAATTAAATAAGGTCCTTATTTTATAATTAGTTATTTACTTTTATTAAAATTTTACTCTGTCATATCCTTTGTATATGTATACAATATAAGTAATCAGTGATTGATTAAAAAGTTATATTTGAGGCTTTAATTAAGAATTATATTTTTGTGGGAATAAAGGTGGTCTACATTGTGTGTTAATCTATGATCAGCATCCTTATGCTGTAACAATCTGCTTTATTAATCCTAGAATCTATAACCCAGTTTACATAGTGGTAAGTCCTGTAATTATGGCCCCTGAACACCTTCTGGAGTGCTCGTCTTGCCAATCTTAACCTGGAAAATGATGTCCAAGAATGAATCTGTAGATACAGAGATAGGAGTTCTATTATTTTAAGATAGAGAGATATTTCTTGGATGGCAGATCCTGATGAGCTGGATTTCCCTAAGGGCACCTGAAAGTAAGGAGGCCAGAGGAGCCCTTTTTAGAATGTCCCCAAAACTTTTTTGGGCACCCATTCTTCATGGGGACACATGCATCTGGTGAGTCTGCATAGTTATGAAGCATCTGTTGTGTGTCACAGGAAGGGCTAGTTTGATCATGGTGTTTGTCTAAACCCAAGATAATGGAAGCGAACAACTGACTTGGCATAAAGAAAACTGTTACTAAATCATAGATGGAACCTCTAACCTCACCTAAACTACTTCTGATCACAAGGAGGGCCAAGTAAGCAAAAGGATACGCCCCAGGGCCAGCATCATGACTTGCTGAAAGGAAATGCGAGGTGTTGGTGTTGTATAGAAAGCTCACCAGTAGTTGAGCTACTTTTGTAGTTACAAAAGTTAGATTGATTTATGAAAAGCCATGACAAAATATGCTGATAATGCATAAAAATTTTTTCAAAATGAAGACTAGCATAGATGAGCAAGGATCTTGAAAAATGATACTTGGTATTCCATTGCACTAAACTATAACATTTTGATGATTAGACCAAGAAAATGACCTCATCTTGCATAGATCCAGAGCCACAACCTTCTAAGTTATTTGGTACATGCCTAGCTGTCAGGTGATAGGTCAGAAGGGACAAAAACGTACCAGGTATTGATCGACTTACGACCTGTGCAACTTACGACCATTCGACTTTATAACCACAATCGCTAGCCACGACTCCTCCACTGTAGATTTTTGGAAACACTACAACATTTTGATGTGTGTCAAGAATATCACTACCACCTGGGAGGCTGTGACGACAAAGTGCATGAATGGCATCTGGAAAAATTGTGTTAAGCGCTCTGTTAATGATTTTGACGGATTTGACAGTGAACATGAACTTGAAACGATTCGGGAAAAAATAGTAAAACTCACTAAAGACCTTTCTTTGGAGTGTGAAATGGAAGATGTCGAAGAGTTGCTAGACAAAGAATCCGGAGAACTTACAAATGAAGAGCTAATCGAACTGGAAGAAGAAAGAGTGGCGGAAGAAGAAAGAAGAGAAGCAGAGAAAGAAGAGGAGGAGCCAGAAAGAAAGTTCACCACTAAGGGACTATCAGACAGTTTATCTTTACTGAATAAACTTCTTATACATTTCGAAGCAATGGACCCAAACATCGAACGATTTGCAAGGATTGAACGGATGGTGCACGATGTGTTTCGTCCATATTGTGAAATTTATGAAGAAAAAAAGAAACGCAATTCAGACAAAGCTCACCATGTTTGTGAAAAAACCAACTCCGGTAACCCCAACTGCTGCTTCAGATGACGACATCAACGATCCTCAGCCGAGCACCAGCAGCCAATAAAATGTTTCGTACATGTTTATATATTTTGATATGTTTTGCAATTGGGAAAATGTTACCTATGGTATTTTTTACACCTGTATTTTGTATTTTTGTATGCACTTGTATTTTTTAATTTTGTATGTTTTGCAAATATTAAACCAGTTGTACTGGTAATGCAGTGTTTTACTCAAACCTGATGAATGTAAAAATAAGAAACAAAATGGTGTAGAGATGATACAAATGGCATAAAATGAACAAATAAAATTATGATATATAACAATAATGAAAGAAAATTATGATAAAATATGACTTAAAGATTTTTATAACATCATTTCACAGTACTGTACATACAGCCTACTCAACTTACGACCAAATCATGTTACGACCAGTCTGTCGGAACCAATCGTGGTCTTAAGTCGAGCACTAGCTGTATACACTTTGGTATAAGTTCTAACTAGTTAGACCTTATTTTTAAATAGCATCCAGATAAATTTACACTTCCAACTTAGATAAATTATAGGTTGTTCCTAAGATTTTTATAAAAGAAATCCATACCAATTGAATATAGGGTACACATAAACAGCTGTAAAACTTTAAATTCTGCGGTGTTCTTTCTCCTGTAATTAAACCATAGGCATATCAGAGTGGTTTGTTGCAGAAGCTCCTTCATGAGGATTCAGCATATGATTATGACCTGATCGTCATCGGTGGTGGTTCTGGTGGCCTTTCGTGTGCAAAGGTATGAACATAGAAATGAAATTCATAGATAATCTTCCTGGTGATTGCCATAGACATTTCTTCTATACTTAAAAAAGAAGAAACAACTAATGTTACAGTTTAAGCTTCTATTGTAATAGCTGGTGCAATTCAGGTAAAAGAGTGTGTGTCACACAAAAACCGTCTTTTAGAGAAGACAAAAATTGAGGGAGTGTCAGAAAAGTGACAAGATCTTTAGATGTAAATTTTGTTGTTGTTCATTTGTAGGAAGCTGCCATTTTGGGAAAGAAAGTTATGGTGCTAGACTTTGTTGTCCCGTCACCTCGGGGCACATCTTGGGGTAAGCTGTTTTTCTCTGTTGCTCCTCTATGCTCTTTACATATGTTGTTTGCTTTATGTAATCTCATTTAATCCTCACGACAATCTAAAGAGGTATAACTCACCTGTTTCTTGGATAACAAAACAGGCAAGGCTAGGCCAGACCCAGGGGCTCATGCCTGTAATCCCAGTACTTTGTGGGGCTCAGGAGTTCCAGACTAGCCTGGATAATATAGTGAGACCTTGTCTCTATTTAAAAAAATAAAAAATAAAAAAAATTTTTTTAAATTAACTGAGTCTTAGGTTATAGTTAACAAGTGGTGACATTGGAAAGATAATGTAAACATAAATAAGGAAGATTTTGCAAAAAGAAAAAAAAATTCAGTGACCCCAGTATTTCAGCACTTCTGCCATAGTATTTTTTTGCATGCATGTCATATAGTTAAGGTCACAGTGTATAAACTGTGTTGTGGTCACATAGGTTTGCAAGAAACACTTTTCTTTGTTTCTGTGTCAGTTTCACAATTGACTGTATTAGCAGCACACTTTTCTTTGTTTCTGTGTCGGTTTCACAATTGACTGTATTAGCAGACTGTATTATAAGCACAGTAGCTGATGGAGTGAGTGTATGTAATCTTTACAGTTTAGCTTAACAAGGAGACCAATGACCAGCCCTATGACTCTGCTGTCTCCTGTAGACTAGAGTGCTCACCTTTCCATGTTGTTTTTCCACAGTGAAAAGAGCACATGGATTTTGTGCTGGATGTTTCCATTTATTCTTTAAATGCAGTCCCCCTCTGCGTCTACCCTGCTCTATGCCCTGTAAGACTGATCTGTTGGCAACTGTGCCCTCTGGCTTCTGCAATAGCTTGGCCACTTTGGGACTATGGGAAGAGGGCAGAGAGATAGTGGAGTTGGAATTTTACTCCCCTGGCTCCTTCCCTGCTGGGTCCCTGCATCTTCCTGTGGAAGATGCCATCCCCTCCATTAGATGGCCGGCTCCTGCTGGTTGGTGGCACTCAGTCTCCTTGCCCCTTCACATGGGGCTGCCAGTGGTCACCCTGTGTCACTAGTTTAGGGAACTATTCTATCCCTCTTTGCGCTTCCTGCTTACACCTTTGTGATAATTTCTCTGTTAATCCTTCAGTTACCCAACTTGAGTGTGTCTTCTCTTTTCTGCCAGAACCAGTCTGATAAATTATGAAAATCAATTTTTAAAATTTAAACTTACTCAGAAAGTTATAGCCTAGAATTTTATATACAATAGCTAATCTACCTTGATTTTTCTCATAATATTCTTGTGATGTGTGTACACTTGTTTTTTGTCCCTCACCCTGTCCTCCTCCCTCTTTTTCTCCTCCCCTTCTCCCTTTCTTATCCAGAAGTCATCCTACTTATCTGGCATGCCAGAAGACACTGCAGTCAGAAAGAATCTGAGACTGCCCTGCAAAGGGGCATTCTGTTTTGCACGATCCATGTTGTGGTGTTTAGCACTCAGAGTAAATGTGTCCAGGCAGCTTGCAGTTGACAACATGGCTCAGAGGAGTCGGAGTTATGGAGAGTACAAGGCTGGGAGCTGAGTTTCTCACCCTTTCTCACCCTTGGTGTAGTACATATCTAGTTAATCTCAGATCTTTCTGATCACTGTGGATCAGACTCAAGTGAAAGTTTTAGGCTCTGTGCCCAGAAAACTTCTCACATGCATGTCTGTATTTTTAGGCGTCCTTGGGTCTCCACGGTTGTGAAACTATGGTCAGAAAATTTGGGGTAATCCCTTATGTCTTATTTTGGGGTGAGCTTGTAATTTCCCACCACTGAGCTTGTAATTTCCACATGTTTTAATATAATATGTCTGCAGATGTGTGAAACTAGACAAACACAGAAGAAGCATTAAAACTTATTTTCTTTCTCAGGTCTTGGTGGCACTTGTGTAAATGTAGGTTGTGTTCCTAAGAAATTGATGCATCAGGCTGCCCTTTTGGGGCAGGCATTACATGACTCAAGGAAGTTTGGCTGGGAGTATAATCAACAAGGTGAGTAATGTATATAAAGTATAGATTGAGAGAAAAGAAAAAAATGAGTTTTTTAGATAAAGACTTGCTATTCATATTTTTATAGTTGAGTTCATAATTCATTTAATGAACATTCATTAGGAAGCCTCTGTGTCAGCCAGGCATAGAGGATGCAAAGAGGGTCCCGCTCTTATGGGCCTCACCACGTAGAGAGGGAATTGTCTCAGCTGCAGCAATTCCATACTCTTAGCAGAATGCAAAAGATTAAATAATTGCTATTTTCAAATTTCTTTCAAGTCTAAGGAAAATAGAATAGCAAGGGTTATTATTTGAATTTTATCTGTTACATTTTTTTTCTCAGTGGTTATATGTATCTTTGGTTAATGAAAGGTGGAAAAGAAATTCATCCAGTAAACATGTATTAGCCAGGCTCTGAGGATACAGATGTGAGGAAGCAGAGCTGCCTGTAAATAGCACGTAGTCTAGTGGGAGAGAGAGAGACAAGGAAATTCATTCAGTGCAGTCAAATTAGCTGTGCTGCTTAGAGTATTGGCTCCATGTAGCCTTGAGGGTGGTGGAGAAGTGCCAGGGAAAGCTCTTCAGACAAGGTGACCCTTGAGCTGCATCTGGAAGGTCACAGAGGAGTAGGACCTTTAACACAGGAAGCAGCTTGATGAACACTATGGAGATGTGAGGAAACATGATGTTTTGGGGGGTTAGGAGCAGCTGGAGTAAAGAGTAGATGAAGGGAGTTGAAGCAGGAGAGGAGGATGAGCCATGGGCTGTGATTCTGGGTCCTTCTGTCAAGCTAAGTAGCAAGCGGAGAGAAGCTCCCTAAAGAAAATGATGCTTATTTCTGAATTGGGCACTGCAGCTAGAATATGTGTGCCATAGTAAACCATGTGTGTGTTCAGGGATGTTAAGGAAGACAAGGGTTTCCTAAGCAAAAATGAGGATGATAGGATTGAAATGATTACCCTTGGCTATAAGGATCAATAACTAGGGTGACTCAAGTCCAAGGTGGATAGGCAGTTGCTGGGCAGATGTCCTGGAAGATGTATTTTTATGTAAGGTTGTGATGGCCTTTGGGCAATTTTGTGGTTTTTGCAGTGTTTGTGATGTGATGATTATGTTATCAGGCATACAACCCAGAAAACCCTTTCTTCATGGCCTTCCCCAGCTCTGTTTGTCAGAGAGTTCTTTTTTTTTTTTTTTTTTTTTTTTTTTTAAGCACAAGTTACTCCATTTTGATTCCGACAACTTTTACACCTTTGATGGCACTGAAGAACTTAGAAAAGAGAGGAAAGGATAGGGAAGGGGGGGGCAAGAAATGACAGAGGCCTGAGCAAAGACTGAAGTCAGGTTGGAGGGCAATTGAAGGTGTATAATTGACCAGACGTTGGATGTAGACTTGGCAGTATATCAGAATGTCTTGTGGAGTTTAAGAAAAATTACAAACCACTTGTCTCTTTTTGCAGATATTTTGATCTGGTAGATGTGGGCAGTGAATGTGCACATTTAAAGGATCATATATGATCCTGGTTCTGACCATAGCCAGGTGATTGTGACAGGCCGTCCAGGTCATGGTAGGAGATGGAGTGAGGGAGAGGAAAGAATACAGGAAGAGAGACTGGGGGAAATGGAATACCATTCATTGAGATAGAAAACACAGGCAGCTTTGATTTATTGGTAGGGTGGGGTTGAGTTCAGGATAATGAGTTGATGCTGGACACATTTCTTCAGTCAGCTCAATGGAGAGGTTTAGGTCAAGCTAGGATTAGCTGGGCATGGTGGTGCATGCCTATAGTCCCAACTGCTCAGGAGGCTGAGGCAGGAGGATTGCTTGGATCTGGGAGGTCGAGGCTGCAGTGAGCTGAGATTGTGCCACAGCACTCTAGCCTCAGCAACAGAGTGAGACCCTGTCTCTTAAAATATTTATGTGGGTGTGTGTGTATGTATAGGTATATATACATGTATTTGTATGTGTATGTATATGTGGTGTGCTGATATATACACATATATATATTCACATGTATAATTGAAAATTTAACAAAAAATGAAAATAACTTGAAATAAATTCCACCAGGAATGTATGGGATATATAAGGAAAGAATATAAAGGTATAACAATAAATTTACTATGATTTTAGATAGGGTGTCTCAATATTGTGAAGACATTATCTCAAAAATTATTTGTAAATTTTATATAAGTCTGGTAAGAGCTCCATGAGACATTTTTTTCTTTTTGGAGATTGGCTAATTATTTTAAAATTTGTATTGAAAAATACACATGTGAAAATAGCTAGGCAACGTTTGAGAAGGTATAGAGGGCGACCTTTCTCAGTACTTAAAAATGTTGTACTGTTGCAGGACTAAACATATCAGTGAAACAGTAGAGCAGGTGGTTTCAAGGTGCAAGTTCATAGATTTGGCATATCAGAAACTCCAGGAGGAGCCTTTTAGCTGTATAGGTTCCAGGGTCCCACTCCTGATTTTATAGTTTTTGGCAGGTCCTAGGATTTGTATAGGTCAACATGATTCCCATTATGACATATTTGAGAGCCTCTAATCTAGAATGCCTTTTGCAACAAGAACAAGAAACAAAAGGACACATGAACTGTGAGTTGAACTGACAGGATTCTTAGGCTAAGTAGTTTAAGAGTTGGAAGAAAAGCTTTTCTGGGGGATGGGGAAGAAATATCTTTAGGATGTGAGGGTATGTACCATTGTGGCAATGTGGTCTCTGCTGAGACAGGTTTGAGAATCATCATAACCTACATCACAGGGAGTGGGAGGATGGGGTAATGTGCTAACAAGAACGACTATTTCGGGTTGCAAAATTTTAGGAGACTGTGGTACACTGGCATCATAGAAAGGGTCATGTGTGTTGACATTGGCTAAGCCTCTCTGTGCACTGACTGTCTCCTCTAGTCGTCTCCCTTTCTGCGTGGTAACATCCCATGTCCCTGGATGAATAGGGGGGCATTTCTCGACAGTGGTAGATGGAGTAAGTTTCCAGATGTGACTGTTGAGCTCAGGTTGTTGGTTTGTCTTCTGGAATCTCATCTAGTTATGATGGAAGCCCTGGCTGGGGTGCCCCTGCATCTTGTAAACATAGAGCTACACAGGGTGACCTTCAGGATCTGGCATCTGTAGGTAAGATGAACACTATGCAGTAAATCCCACCTAGAAGATACAGAGATGCCACAGAATTCCAACAGCCAAGTCCTGCCCCACCTTCCAAAGGAATGGGTAAACACCATAATATTGAAGGTTGGCAGTGGTGAACATGAGCCGTGTTTGTTGTAAAGACATGTAAGATATTCACTGTCATGAAACCACTGTGCTGTGAACCAAATGGGAATGGAACCATGTCAGTCTGTTGAGGAGAGTGTACTAAGCTCACTGACTTGAGGCCTTCTTCCCATCCAAGGGACAAAGTAAGGTAGGTCCCATGGAGTGGGAAAGGATTCTAGGAGATGCTGCCAAGGAGAAGTGAGCCTCCTGCCTTATGTCGACGTGGGCATTGCAATATGAGGGTCAGTTTCCCCATTCTCTCCTCCATGGACTTTTCCCCAGTTTTCTTCTTTTCAAAATTCTTGCTTTTTGCGCATTCTTTGTAATATAAAATAGGAAGACTAGAGGAGACAGTCAGTGCACAGAGAGGCTTAGCCAATGTCAACACACATGACCCTTTCTATGATGCCAGTGTACCACAGTCTCCTAAAATTTTACAACCCGAATAGTCGTTCTATTTTATTTAAATTTTATTTAAATTGTTAATTATCTTCTGTCTACTTCATGATTTTTAAAACACTGTTAGTATGGCTCATGTCTGGTTACATACAATTTACCATTAAAGGTAGAATTCACTTAACATTTTTACCCTGGTTGTTTCTTCTTAGTGACGCACAACTGGGAGACGATGACAAAAGCGATTCAGAACCACATCCGCTCTCTAAACTTTGGCTACGGGTTGTCTTTGAGGGAAAAGGCTGTGGCCTATGTCAATTCCTATGGAGAATTTGTTGAACATCACAAAATAAAGGTACTGTTTGAGTTTCTTGTCTTGTTCATTTCCTTTCCTTACAGTTGTTTGTACTTGCCTTGGACTAAAATTTCATGCTGCTTGCTAAGGAGCATAACAGGCATGCGTCTGCATGCGTGCGTGCGCGCGCACGTACACACACACACAGAGTCATGCATGTACATGTGTTTTTCTCCCATTGTTTGTTGATTCTATATGTTTGGTTACCTTGAAGAAATTGAGTTTTAAAGAACCCTTAGTTTAAAGTTATTTGCCTTTTATTTTATGGCCATATTAAAAGAGAACATGTTTAGACTAAGCAATTCAAAATTTAAAAGACTAAAAAGATCAAAATTTTATTAGTGGAATGCTTTCTAAAAATGAAAACTTAACTAGAACTCCAATATATGTTATTCATAAAAGCATTGATAAAAGTAGTATTAGAATTAGTGTGTTTTGTAAGTTTATCTTTGTAGTATTTATATATTATTAGATTAATATATAAGGAAAATGAGATCATTTTGAGGAGCACAAACAGTTTAAGTTGGAATTATGACAGACAATCAAATATTGTCCTCATCATCTAGTTTATTTTTGTACTTTGTTAGCACAGTGTGAGATAATCTTGACAAGATTTTAGATTATTTTGTATTCAGTTGTTTTTTCAGAACCGTGTGAGGTATGGTCCATTTAAAGCTGCCCTTCAAGGTTTATTTTCAACATTTTATTTAAATATTTTTATTTGAACAGGAAATATTTGGGAACATAACATAGTAATTAGCCAAATATTCAATTCCTAGCTTTAATAATTGTTATCATTTGCCATATAATCTATATTTTGGATGATGTGTTTTAAAGTCAAAGATACATTTCACTCCTAAAAAATAATAAGATAAAGCCAGCCCTTTAAAACCTTACATGGGCCAATTTGAATTATGTTATTTACGTGAAACACAGTAGAAATACGTGTTTTATTTCTCAAATTTCCTGGCACAGATGGTTGAATAAGCCCCAGCCATACCTGCCTCTTGTGTGGCTCTTTGTTTAGTGATGCTAGCACATTCCCAGTCCCTCAGGCTAGAAACTCCAGAGTCTCCCTTTCACCCCACAGCCTGTACTTGCTTGTCTTTTTCAGAGCCCTTCTAAGCAAGGCTCTTTCTCCAGGCTCTGTTCTATATCCCACTCATGCCAACCCACTTGTTTAAACATCTTCATTAGTATTTGAATATTTTTTTCCCAACAATTGGTGTTTATTAAACATACTGTGCTCACACTTATCATTGAACCCAGTATAGCAATAAAAATATTATAAAAAGATATTTCATGACATGGGAATATGCTCATAATGTATTTTTTTTTCTCCTCAGTTTTTTTTATTGCATTTTAGGTTTTGGGGTACATGTGAAAGACATGCAAGATTGTTGCATAGGGTACACACATGGCAGTATGATGTGCTGCCTTCCTCCCCATCACCTATATCTGGCATTTCTCCCCATGCTATCTTTCCCCAACTTCCCACCCCCTGCTGTCCCTCCCCTATTTCCCCCCTACAGACCCCAGTGTGTGATGCTCCCCTCCCTGTGTCCATGTGTTCTCATTGTTCAACACCCACCTATGAGTGAGAACATGTGGTGTTTGATTTTCTGTTCTTGTGTCAGTTTGCTGAGAATGATGGTTTCCAGGTTCATCCATGTCCCTACAAAGGACATGAACTCATCGTTTTTGATGGCTGCATAGTATTCCATGGTGTACATGTGCCACATTTTCCCTGTCCAGTCTATCATCGATGGGCATTTGGGTTGGTTCCAGGTCTTTGCTACTGTAAACAATGCTGCAATGAACTTTCGTGTGCATGTGTCCTTATAGTAGAACGATTTATAATCCTTTGGATATATACCCAGTAATGGGATTGCTGGGTCAAATGGAATTTCTATGTCTAGGTCCTTGAGGAATCGCCACACTGTCTTCCACAATGGTTGAACTAATTTACACTCTCACCAACAGTGTAAAAGTGTTCCTATTTCTCCACATTCTCTTCAGCATCTGTTGTCTCCAGATTTTCTAATGATTGACATTCTAACCGGTGTGAGGTGGTATCTCAATGTAGTTTTGGTTTGCATTTCTCTAATGACCAGTGATGAGGAGCATTTTTTTCATATGTTTGTTGGCCTCATGTATGTCTTCTTTTGTAGAGTGTCTGTTCATGTCCTTTGCCCACTTTTGAATAGGCTTGTTTTTGTTTGTTTGTTTGTTTGTTTGAGACGGAGTTTCGCTCTTGTTACCCAGGCTGGAGTGCAATGGCGCGATCTCAGCTCACCGCAACCTCCGCCTCCTGGGTTCAGGCAATTCTCCTGCCTCAGCCTCCTGAGTAGCTGGGATTACAGGCATGCACCACCTTGCCCAGCTAATGTTTTGTATTTTTAGTAGAGACGGGGTTTCACCATGTTGACCAGGATGGTCTCGATCTCTTGACCTTGTGATCCACCCGCCTCGGCCTCCCAAAGTGCTGAGATTACAGGGTTGAGCCACCGCGCCTGGCCTTTTTCTTGTAAATCTGTTTTAGTTCTTTGTAGATTCTGGATATCAGCCCTTTGTCAGATGGGTAGATTGCAAAAATTTGTTCCCATTCTGTTGGTTGCTGATTCACTCTAGTGACTATTTCTTTTGCTGTGCAGAAGCTGTGGAGTTTGATTAGGTCCCATTTGTCTATTTCGGCTTTTGTTGCTGATGCTTTTGGTGTTTTGGTCATGAAGTCCTTACCTACGCCTGTGTCCTGAATGGTTTTGCCTAGATTTTCTTCTAGGATTTTTATGGTGTTAGGTCTTACGTTTAAGTCTTTAATCCATCTGTAGTTAATTTTAGTGTAAGGTGTAGGAAATGGGTCCAGTTTCTGCTTTCTGCACACGGCTAGCCAGTTTTCCCAACACCATTTATTAAACAGGGACTCCTTTCCCCATTGCTTGTTTTTGTCAGTTTTGTCAAAGATCGGATTGTTGTAGATGTGTTGGGTTGCCTCCGAGGGCTCTGTTCTGTTCCATTGGTCTATATCTCTGTTTTGGTACCAGTACCATGCTGTTTTGATTACTGTAGCCTTGGAGTATAGTTTGAAGTCCAGTAGTGTGATTCTTCCCTCTTTGTTTTTTTTTTGCTTAGAATTGACTTGGCTATACGGGCTCTCTTTTGGTTCCATAAGAAGTTTAAGGTGGTTTTTTTCCAGTTCTGTGAAGAAGGTCATTGGAAGCTTGATGGGGATAGCGTTGAATCTGTAAATTACTTTGGGCAGTATGGCCATTTTCACAATATTGATTCTTCCTAACCATGAACATGGAATGTTTCTCCATCTGTTTGTGTCCTCTCTTATTTCATTGAGCAGTGGTTTGTAGTTCTCCTTGAATTTGAATGTTTTTAAATGAAAATATATTTTTGAATTATTTGTATAATTACAAATTGTGAACAGCCTTTGTTGGTTCCCCATAGCCTAAGTTGTTAGGATGACATAAGGGCCTTCACACTTGGCTCTAGTCTGTTTCATGTCACTTCTGACACAACCCTGCTCTCCAGCCTTCACACACCAACTCCTTCCGGGCATGTGTGCTTTTCTGAACATTGTTCTGTCTTCCAGGTCTCTGTTCCTCTCCCATCATTTCACTTTTCTCCTCTCCATTTGAAAATCTCCACTCCTTCTTTAATCTGTCCTTGATTGTCTTTCTAGTCCACTACTCTACCCTCACCAGAGGGCTTTGATTAATATTTCATAAAGATTTCTATTTTCTGTGCTTGTGCTTATCATATTGCATTATTACTTTTTTGCATGTCTGCTGTTCCTGTTGTATGGGAAGCTCCATGAGGGTAGTAACTGTTTTGTCCATGGTGTCTGGTACTCTGTAGTGTTTGTTGAGTAAGTGAGGTTTACCTGGTTTTTTTTCAAGGCAACCAATAAAAAAGGACAGGAAACTTATTATACTGCTGCACAGTTTGTCATAGCAACGGGTGAAAGACCACGGTATTTAGGAATCCAAGGAGATAAAGAATACTGTATTACCAGGTAAGGTTAAATAGACCATTTTAACTTTAATGTTAATAAATTGCATCATATTGACATGTTTCCAGTTTATTTACTTCCTGTCTTATTCTACAAAAGATTCGAATAGACAAATGAAAATATATGCAATGCAAGAAGCTAAACAGTTAAAGGCAATGAAACAGAATATAAAGTCAGGTAAATAAGGCCACTGGCAAAATTAATTTACAAAAATATGGCATATGTGTCTCGGTGATTGCTAGAAGTAGCCTTGGAGCTTGGTTCTAAACTTCTTGCAGGCCAAAGCAAAGGAGTAAATACAATTAGCTCTAGGATTTAGTATCCTTATGATAAAAATACTGCTCTTCTTAACACTGAGATTTAATGAGAATTCTTCTTGGTGGTCAAACAGAGGACATATGTGCAATGACTTGCAAACTTTTTTGAGCTGACTCACATTAATTAAATACATTGTTTTGTCCAGGTAAACACACACACACCCCTTCACATAGCACATACATATACCTCCAAAACAAACAGATTTTTTTCTCATTACATATAATCTAGTCTGATATTTTCTATACTATTTTATTTTTTAAAAAACTTTGCTTGTGATCTGATTTTGAAAAAACTGAAGTATACTAATTGTTCCACTCCACAGCAAACTTAATTACAAATTTCAAAAGGTTGTTGCTTCATTCACACACTAAATTAAATTATAATTCAGTCTTTACAAAACCATTATACATTGAAACATGAATAACTCATTTCATTCTTACTGCCTAGGTATTCTCTTTTTTAATTTTTCTTTTTCAGTGATGACCTTTTTTCTCTGCCTTATTGCCCTGGCAAAACGTTAGTGGTGGGTGCCTCTTACGTCGCCCTGGAGTGTGCAGGGTTTCTGGCTGGCTTTGGCCTAGATGTCACAGTTATGGTACGCTCAATCCTTCTCCGTGGCTTTGACCAAGAAATGGCAGAGAAAGTGGGTTCCTACATGGAGCAGCATGGTGTGAGGTTCCTATGGAAATTCATACCTGTGATGGTAAGGCTGCATGGCATTTGCAGCTTCTTTTCTCTGAGTTTTCACTTTACCCCACCTTACTTCATTTCATTACATAAATTAGTCTGTATTCAAATAATGTTAAAACAGTGTTTCTACTCCCAAGTCTACAGAGCCACCCCCGTTTGCCCCCCTGTCCCGTCTTCTGATATAGGAAGTGTCCTTGCTCTTTTCAGAGGCCGAGTCCCCTAATCTCCTGCTTTGTTTCACCTTTTCAAGGATGTCCCATCTTCAGTTAGTTGTCTTCTTTTTCCTTATTCATATCACTGTTTCTTATCTTGAACAATTAAGACTTCTCTTACCCTCACTGCCATTATGGCTGGGTCCCTATTTTTCTTTTCTCCTTTATAAAAAAGCAAAAACAAAACAACAACAACAAAAAACTCTGCATGCTGCTTCTAATTTCTTGCCTCCATTTCACATTTACCTGTCAGCTTTTCCATCTCCACTACTTCTTTGAAACTGATTGTAGGTTTTTAACAAATTTCCTGTCATCAAATCCAGTGGTACCGTCTCTGTCCTTATCTTACTGGGCCTCTTGACAGCATGTGATGAAACTGGCCTTCTGTTTGAAGCACCCTCCTTTCTGGCTTATGTGGCCCCACAGTCTATAGTTTTCTCATCTATATCTACTCAACCTATAGACGCCAGCACCCATTTGTTTTCCCCCAGGCCCCTCTTCACTTCTGTGCACTTGTATTACCTGGATGATCTTCTCTAGGCCCATAGTTTAAAGCATCATCTAAATGCTAATGATTCTCAGATTTATATCTCCTGTTTAAGAGTCTCTCCTGAATTGCACATTCATTTATACTTCTGTCTACTGGAAATTGCCACTTGGATCTCTCATAAGCATTTCAAACTTAACAACAGAAAAATGGAACTCTAGATTTTTTACCTAAATATATTCTCCTGCTAATCTTTCTGGTCCATCTCAGTACTTGGTAAATGGTACTTAACACAATGTATTAAGCCAGTATTGAGGAACACCCCTTAATTTCTCTTTTTTTTCTCCCTCCAATCTCAATTAATTCATTAATTCATTTCTACCTCCAAAATGCATCTGTGACAGTCCACTTTTCTCTATTTCTGCCTTGTCCAGAAACCTTAACTATACTAACACATATTGTATATACCACCACCACACACACAAGTGTATATGAACATACCAGTGTACACCCTTTTATGTATTTCTTTTTTATCATATTTAGATAGCATCGTTACACTCTTTATTCTTACTAGGTTCAACAGTTGGAGAAAGGTTCACCTGGAAAGCTGAAAGTATTGGCTAAATCCACTGAAGGAACAGAAACAATTGAAGAAGTCTATAACACAGTGAGTTTTTATTTTATTAAGTTATTGAACACACTCATAAATTAACAGAAATGAAACTTACAGGTAGATTATACCAGATTAACTTTTTTTTATTCTTTGTAAGAGTGTTATTATGGAAGATAGTTTGGCTGCTGATGTTTGAGTTTTCAGTAATACATGAGGATTACCATGGTAAAATATATGTGTTTGCAATTGTATGTAAAATTTGGAAGCACATATATCCAGGCGTTATTAGTGCTTACTTTTGGAGAATTAGTTATTTTATACATTTCTTAATTTGAATTTTTTCGCAATAAATATTGAATATATTTTATAATGAAAAACAATAGCAAAGCTATTTTTCTTTCTCAAAAACAAACAGTACAAAATCTCCAAACAATGTTAACCCATGGAATACTTTAGAGGCCAACAATTCTTTTTAATTAGTTTATAGTTTTGACAGAAACTATACATTTATTTTTTTTTTCTTTTGAGACAGAGTTTTGCTCTTGTTGCCCAGGCTAGAGTATAATGGTGCCATCTCAGCTCGCTGCAACCTCCACCCCCCAGGTTCAATAATTCCCCTTGCCTCAGCCTCCTAAGTAGCTGGAGTTACAGGCATGCACCACCATACCTGGATAATTTTGTATTTTTGGTAGAGATGGGGTTTGCCCATGTTGGTCAGGCTGGTCTTGAACTCCAGACCTCAGGTGATCCGCCCACCTTGGCCTCCCAAAGTGCTGAGGTTACATGTATGAGCCACCATGCCCAGACCATTTATGTTTTATATACTCTTTATGTAGATATTTTTTCAGTTAACAAAAATACAACCTAGAGAGCATCCACAAACCCAAAAAACATGTAACAAAACCAAAACCCCAAAATCAACCTTGTTGAGATTTTGATTAGGACTGGATTGGATATATAGGAAAATTTGGAAACACTTGACTTTTTCAATGTTCAGTCTTCCAACCCATGAACATGGTATATCTAGTCATTAATTTAGATTTTCTTCAATGATTCTTGGAACAGTTAATACATTTCTCCGTGGGGATCAAGAACATCTGTTAGATTTAGATTTATTTCTAGGTATTTATATATATTTTATTTATATGTAGATATATTTTTTTTTTTTTTTTTTAAATATTATCTTTAACTTTCTGGTATATAAAAATGCTGCTTATATTTGTGTTTTGATTTAGTGTTCAGTAATCTTGCTAAACTCTTACTGAAAAATTTATCCTTAGATTATTTCAGATTTCCTGTGTACACATTTATTTATTTGTGAATAATAACAGTTTGTTTCTTCCTTTTTACTGGTTTTCCCCTTTTTTCTTGTATAAATGCATTAGTTAGGACCTTCAGTATAGTCTTGACAAGAAATGACAATAGCAGACACTCTCGTCTTATTTTCAATATCAAAAGGAAAGGTGTGTCACTAAAAAGCGGTGTTTTCTGTAGGGTTTTGTTACATACTGTTAATCAAGTTAAGGAACTCCTTTTCTATTTTTTGTTTCTTAAGTGTCTTTTCCTTTACTTTGTTCTGTATATTTAAAAATGATTGAATGTGCCGGTCACAGTTGCTCGTGCCTATAATCCCAGCATTTTGGGAGGCCGAGGCAGGTGGATCACGAGGTTAGGGGTTCAAGACCAGCCTGCCAAGATGGTGAAACCCCGTCTCTACTTAAAATACAAAAAATTAGCCAGGGGTGGTGGCAGGCACCTTAATCCCAGCTACTCGGGAAGCTGAGGCAGGGAATTGCATAAACTTGGAAGGCAGAGGTTGCAGTGAGCCAAGATCACACCACTGCACTCCAGCCTGGGCAACAGAGTGAGACTCTGCCTCAAAAAAAAAAAAGGATGTTCAGGATGTTCAGTTATAACAGTGGTTTGTTTGTTTGTTTGTTTTTGTTTTGCAGCTGCAGATAATGAATTTTTTCTTTAATCTGTTAATTTGTTGAGTTGCGTTGATTTTCTAATGTTCAACCAACTTTGTATCCTTTGTATAAACCCAACTTGGTAATGTTGGACTTGGTTATTTAGAATTTATGCATTTATATTCATGAATCATATTGCATTGGCTTATAAATTTTCTTTTACATATTGAATATTTTAATTTTAGGTTTGAGTATCAGGGTATTCTTGCTCATGAAAGAAGCTTGGAGTACGTTTCCTCATTTTCTGTTCTCTAGCAAAATTCACGTAACATTAGAATTGGTTCCTTGTATGTTTTATAGAATTCACTGATGCAACCATCTACACCTAGAATTTTCTATGGAGATATATTTGACCACTGATGAATTTCTTTAATAGACGAAGGACTTTTAAGGCTTTTTTTTTTTTTAAATATGGAACGCTTTATGAATTTGCATGTCATCCTTGTGCAGGGCCGTGCTAATCTTCTCTGTATCGTTCCAATTTTAGTATATGTGCTGCCGAAGCGAGCACAAGGCTTTTTATTTTATCCTTGATTTACTTTTGATTAGTTATATTTTTTTCTAGGAATTTGTCCATTTCCTCTGAGTTTTCAAATGTGTTGGTATAAAGTTGTCCATAATATCTGTTAATTGGTTAGTTTTGTATTGAGGTATAATATACATGTAGTGAAATGCACAGATCCTAGGTGTACAGTTCAGTCAGCTTTGACAATGTCCATGTTCATGTAATCCACACTCCTTTAAAGGTAACAGGACATTTATGTGAGTCCAGAAAGCTCTCTGTGCTTTTTCCCAGTCATTGGCCCCAAGCAACCACTATTCTGATTCTGTCACCATAGACTCATTTTGTCTGGTTTGCCTCTAAATGTCACATAAGTGGAATTGTGCAGTATGTATTCCTTGTATCTGGCTTCTTTTATTCAGATTGATGTTTTTAGGAATCATCCATGTCGTATGCATCAGTCGATTTTATTAATGCAGCAGTTTATTCATTTTCCTGTGGATAGATACCTAGGCTCTTTGCAGTTTGGACTATTGTGATGAAAACATTGTGAAGAGTCTTTGTAGAAAGCTTTTTATAAAGATATATTTAGAAATGGTTTCGCTCTGTCGCCTAGGCTGGAGCGCAGTGGTGATATCACGGCTCACTGCAGCTTCTAACTCTTTGGTTCAAATGATCCTCCTACCTTAGCCTCCCTAGTTGCTAGGTCTACAGGCACATGCCACCATGCCTGGCTAATTTTTTTTTTTTAACGGATGGTGTCTCACTGTGTTGTCCAGGCTGATCTTGAACTCCTAGCCTTAAGCAGTCCTCCTGTATTGGCCTCTCAACGTGCTGAGATTATAGGCATCAGCCACTGCTCCCAGCTGACATATATTTTAATTTCTCTTGGACAAATAGGAGTGAAATTGCTTGATCATGGGATGGTTTTTACTTTTTAAAAAACTACCAGGGAGTTTCCAAATGATTATGCCATTTTGTATTTCCATCAGCTATATGTGAGGGCCTGGTTGTTCCAGACCCTTAGGACCTTTAGGGCCATCTGGCTTTCTCATTCTTGCCATTCTAGTGGATATATAGAGGTATCTTATGGCTTTGATTTGCATCTCCCTGATGACTAATGATGGACAGCAATTTTCATGTGTTTATTGGCCATTGATGTATCTTTTCTTTGAAGTGTTTGTTTAAATCTCAACCATTTTTTGTTGGATCATTTGAATTTTTATTCTTGAATTACGGGACTTCTATATATCTTGAGCATATTCCTTTTTCACATATATGTATTGTGAATATTTTCCTCCAATCTGTGACTTGCCTATGTATTTTTTAGTAGTATCTTTGTGTTAGCAGTAGTTTTAAATTTGGTGAAGTTCAATTTTATTAGTATTTTACTTTGTGGTTCATACTTCCTGTGTGCTTTAAGAAATCTTTGCTAACCCAAAGGTCATGAAAGTATCCCTTTGTTTCCTTCCTGAAGTTGTATAGTTTTACCTTTTATGTTTAAGTCTATAATCTGCCTTTAATTAATATTTTTAATAAACAACTTAATTCTCATTCATTTTAATTAGATTTTAAGCCGCTTTTGCTTTTGGAGGCTTTTGAAAAGAAAACTGACTTAGGTCCCTTTCACTGTCCATTGATTTCTTTTCCTGAAGGTTGTGTGATGTCGGCAAATCACCTTGAAGCTCTGCAATAACATCTGTCTTGATTTTCCATTCTGCAGCTTTCTTTGAACATGTTCTCTAGTTGAAGGTTTGGATAAAGAATACACTGCTGTTCTTGCCATTTCCAAAGCAGTCTTTAGAAAAGCCATGTCTGTCCCTTTATTATTTTTGGTCCCAAAAGGAGGATTCAAAATTGCTTGGACCTTCCATTAGATAATGAGCACACATCACACTGAACCATGCCAACATGTGTGAATTCAGACTCTTCCACAATCCTATTAAATATTCCCAGTGCATCTGCATCTATGTCAAATCCAACATACAACCCGGTTTCTCACATTGCAGTTCCAAGGCTAAGCACTCCACAGCCGCATCCTAGATCTGCAGACACTTTATTTTCCCCCTCATCACATGTGTTATGGATTGTATAGAACATACATGCTTCACTATGCAGTTCTTTTTTTTCCCATATGGATATACAGTACCACTTATCCAAAAGACTTCCCTTTCTCCATTGAATTGCTTTGGAGCCTTTGATGAAAGACCATTTAACTGTGGGTCTATTTCTGTGCTCTTCATTCTGTCCCATAGACCATTTGTCTGTCCTTTCCCCAGTACCACATTGTTTTGATTACTGGAGCTCTGTGGTAAGTCTTAGATCAGGTAGAATTTTAATTTTAAAATTCTAATTTTGTTTAGATTCTTTGTATTTCTATATAACTTTTCTCTTTTTTTTTTCATTTTTTTCTATTATAACTTTTAAAAATAGCTTTTTAATTTCTAGAAACAAAAGTCTGCTGGAATTCTGGCTGGAACTGTCTTTTTTTCATAGTCAGTTTGGAAGAGCCGATTTTTTAACAATATTGATTTTTCCAACATATGAATCTCATATGTTTTTCCATTTATTTGGGCATTCCTTAGTTTCTCTCAGCAATGTTTTATCATTGGGCTCTAGAGCTCTTTCACATGTTTTGCTAAGTATATTTCATGTTTTTAAAACTAATATGAATTATATACATATATATATATATATATATTTTTTTTTTTTTGAGATGGTGTTTCCCTCTTGTTGCCCAGGCTAGAGGGCAGTGGTACAATCTTGGCTCACCACAACCTCCACCTTCCAGGTTTAAGCGATTCTCCTGCCATAGCCTCCTGAATAGCTGGGATTACAGGCATGTACCACCCCTACCCACCCTGGCTAATTTTGTATTTTTAGTAGAGACAGGGTTTCCCCATGTTGGTCAGGCTGGTCTCGAACTCCTGACCTCAGGTGATCTTCCTGCCTTGGCCTCCCAAAGTGCTGGGATTACAGACATGAGCTACCATGCCCGACCTACAAATGGCATTTTTAAATGGTCAGCTGGTAGTATATAAATGTTGACCTTGTAGCTTGTTAGGATTCATATCTGCAAATAAAAACAATGCTTCTTCCTCTCTAGTCTGCATGCTTTTAATCTCTTTCTTGCCTTGTTTCACTGGCAAAGACCTCCAGTACAGTATTGACTAGAAATTGTGAGAATGGACATGCCTGTCTTGTTCCTGGTGTTAGGGGTGCAGCATTCAGTTTTTTATCATTACCAGGACATGACCTGTAAGTTTTCTATACATGCCTTTTTCTGGTGACGGAAATTTTCTTTTCTTTTATTCTGAAGATTTTAATTATGAAAGAGTATTTAATTTTATGAAATGCTTTATTGCACCTATTGAGATGATTGAATTGTTTTCTCCTTTATTCCGTTAATAGGATGAATTACATTGATGGGTTTTTGTATGTTAAACTAAATTTCCATTTTTGTCACAAACTCACTTGGTCACAAACAATCATCCTTTTTATATATTACTATATTTGATTTGCTAACATTTCATTAAGGATTTTATATCTATATTCATGAGTGTTGGCTTGTGGATTTCTTTTCTTTTAATGTCCTTATCTGATTTTGGTGTCAGTTGCTTATACTGGCCTCATAAAAAAGAAGTTGGGAAGTACTCCCTTTTCCTCTTTCTTTCCTGGAAGAGTGTGTGTACCATTAACATTATTTCTTACTTAAGTATTCCATAGACTTTCCTAGAGAAGCCACCTGGGTCTGAAATTAATTTATGGGAAGTTTACAAATTGTGAATTCAATTTCTTTGATGGTATAGGGCATATTAATTTGCCAGGGCTGCCATAGCAAAATACCACAGAGTGGGTGGCTTAAACAACGGACAATTATTTTCTCACAGTTCTGGAAAAGTACCACAGACTGGGGTGCCTAAACAACAGAAATGTATTTCTCACAGTTCTGGAGGCTGGAAGTTCAAGATCAAGGTGTTGGCAGGGTTGGTTTCTTCTGAGGCCTCTCTCCTAGGCTTGCACATGGCTGTCTTCCCCTTGTGTCCTCACATGGTCATCCTTTGGTCTGTGTTGCCCATGTCCTCATCTTCTTATAAGGACACCAGTCATACTGGATTAAGGCACACCCATGTGACCTGTTTTACCTTAATTATCTCCATAAAGGCTCTGTCTCCAAATACAGTCACCCTTGGAGTTACTTAAGGATAGAATTTCAGCATATGAATTTTGAAGGGACATAATTTAGCCTGTAAGCTTTTCAGACATTTGTATGTAAGTTTGGTAAGTTGTGTCTTTTAAGGAATCTATTTCACCTTAAGCTGCCGGATTTATTGGCATTGATTGTTTGCAATATTCCATTATTACCCTTTTAATGTATAAAAGATCTATAGTGATGTTCCCTCTTTCATTCCTGATATGGATAATTTGTGTTTTTGATTTCTCTCCAAATGCAGGTTTTGTTAGCTATTGGTCGTGACTCCTGTACAAGGAAAATAGGGTTGGAGAAGATTGGTGTCAAAATTAATGAGAAGTAAGTGTATTGGGATCATTGGACTGTTGCTGCACAAAGCAACAGGTTTCTGCACAAAGCAACAGGTTTCTGCAGATCACCTCTAAGAAATATTTTTTTAATTTATCTTATGATAAGTTCTGTGCCAGCTCTTTATAATCAATTTCTTCATCAGTGAGTAATTCTTATTGCATGCCTTAAAAAGCTCATGTATTAAACAATGACGTTAAGAAATAAATGCAGAGATATATTCATCTAATGTCTGTGATTTAGAGCACATCTTTATGACCTTGGTCAGGCAAAAAGATAAATTCCAAAGCTCTAAGTGAGACTGTGGAGACAGTCTGCAGATATCCTAGGCATTCAGGAAATGTCTGTGGCTTCCCCAGAGATGTTTTCTTTTGGAGCTACAGAAACCCTTGTTACTTTAAGTCATTGATCTTATAGATAATTGATATGGTGAGGTGCATGAGTTCTAAGAGAGGTCTTTTCTCTATGTATTTAGTCTTAGTCTTTTGGCTAATAGTATTAGTCAGCCAGCAGTGTTGAGTGAGTTGTAATCTGTTTTTTCCCCTTTTCAAAAACTACCAGAAGTGGAAAAATACCTGTAAATGATGTGGAACAGACCAGTGTTCCATATGTCTATGCTGTTGGGGATATTTTGGAGGGTAAGCCAGAGCTCACTCCTGTCGCCATACAGTCAGGCAAGCTGCTAGCTCGGAGACTTTTTGGGGCCTCTTTAGAAAAGGTAAGTTTCTTACTGTTTTTGAGATAATATCTTGATCAAGATCATAATTTTAAAAACTAATGCAAGTAAAACTTGTGTGCTTGTTTTCCAAGTAAAGGGTTCCTCAGGGGTATGATTTGCAGTAGACTATTTACTAATGGATTAAAATAAATACTTTTGGGTGTCCACTGTGTACAAGATGTTGCGCTGGGTGATACACAAAGCACAGGCCATGGTTAGCCCCAGGGGCTTACCAGGTAGGTGGGGTCATGAGTCAGGCAGGCACAGACTGAGCAGAAGACAGAGTATGGTTGTGTGCCAGAGTGCTGTCAGCAGATTGCTCTAGGTACACTGAAGGGGTTCATTCTAGCTGCAGGGAGGCAGAAAGCCTTCATAAGTAGACTGTTGCACTATAATAGCATAGGAGTTCTTGACATAAGTCAGGATTCTGGTCCTGGCTTCAGTGCCCACTTGGCCTATAAACATGGTCAGGTTGTTTAACTTTTGAGGACCTTAGTTTCATCATCTGCAAAGCCAAGGATGTGAATCAGATGATTTCTACAGAGAATTTCCACTTTTCATATTTTTAAATCAAATATTTGGGATGGGCTTTATAGGATGAGTAATTCAAAATTGAGGAAGCAAAGGACTTTTCAGGTGAGCAGTTAACTCAGCTAAGAATACAGAGACCTGTAGCACTTGGCTTGTGCTAAGGACTATGAGTAGTGTCCCAGGAGCTTTCAGCTGGGAAAGTACTGCTCAGCTCCATCAGGAGCTCTGTGGCCATGTGGTGGAGTTGGTGGGAGATGGATGACTGGGGAAGGGCCCTGCCTGCTACATTAGTGGGTGGGGTCAGGAACGCTGAGTGTACCATCTCATGCAAAGAAAAATTGTCCCAAACACAGTGCATAGAGCATTTTGGCATGTGTGTGGGCAAAGTAGTTGGCGATAGGGGAGTACAATTGGGAAGGGGCTGGAAAACTAATTTGGTGCCAGATCATCAAAAATCTTTGCCCCAAAAAAGAATTGATAGGGCCTTCTCTAGGCAGTAGGGATCTGGCGAGACCTTTATTTCCGCCAACTTTTTTATTTAGAAAGGTGTCAAAACACAGAAACCGTGGTAAACAATCACCCGTATTGAACCTGTCACCCAGATTCTCCAATTATTCACATCTGCTGTTTTTGCTTTGTCTCTCCTTTTCTGAATATGTATATGTGTAGTTCATATTCCTTTTTTCTTTTGCCGAGCTTTTTGCTGCCACTTTTTGAAGTGGCAGACATCAATGACATTTGTCCCTAAGTACTTCAGCATATATCTCCTAAGTACAAGGATGTTTACCTCCATAACTACAGTTCTATTGCCATATCCGAGAAGTTCAACAAAAATACTATAATACTCGATTTCCTAAGTTATTCCTTAAGAGTGTGTGTGTGTGTTTGTTTGTGTGTTTTGATTTGCACAGTACATTTGGCTCTTATGATGCTTAAGTCTCAATCTGATACAGTCCTCCTGCCTTTGTTTATTTTTTATGACACTGACTTTTTTCCTATTATTTTTAGTTGACACATAATGTTTGTACATATTTATGGGATACAGAGTGATGTTTTGGTACACTTATACAACATGTAATGATCAAATCAGGGTAGTTAGCATATCTGTTACCTCAAACGTATCATTTATTTGTGTGGGAACATTCTGTTATACCCTTTCTTCTAGCTTTTTGGAAATATGCGATGTATTCTTGTTAATTATGTTCACCCTACAGTGCTATAAAGCACTGGCACTTAACTCCTGTTTAGCTGTAATTTTGTGTCCATTAACCAACCTCTCCCCATCCTCCCCTTTACCCTGCCCTTCCCAGCCTCTAATAACCACAATTCTTCTTTCTACTTCCATAAGATCAACTTTTTTAGCTCCCGCATATGAGTGAGAACATGCAGTATTTATCTTTCTGTGCCCAGCTTATTTCACTTAATATAATATCTTCCAGGCTCATTCATGTTGCTCTGAATGATTAGATTTCATTCTTCTTTATGGCTGAATAGTATTTCATTGCATTTATATATTATGTTTTCTTTACCCATTCATCCATTATGGATGCTTAGGTTGGGTCCATATTTTGCCTATTTTGAATAGTGCTGCAATATATGGGTGTGCAGATATCTTTTTGATACACTGATTCTTTCCTTTGGATAAATACTCAGTACTGGGATTGCTGGATCATATGGTGGTTCTATTTTTAGTTTTGGAGACCCTCCATACTGTGTTCCATAGTGGCTATGCTGGCTTCCATTCTCACTAACAGTATGTAAGAGTTCCCCATTTTCCACATCCTCACCAGCATTTGCTATTTTTTGTCTTTTTGATAATAGCCATTCTGACCGGGTTATGGTATCTCATTCTGGCTTTGATTTACATTTTCCTGATGATTAGTGATACTGAGCATTTTTTCCTATACTTGTTGTCTATGTGTATATCTTGTGAAAAACACCTATTCAGATCCTTTGCCCATTTTTAAACCAGGGTATTCTTTTTTTTCCCTCTGAGTTGTTTGAGTTCCTTATATAGGTATATTAGTAACTTCTCGAATAGATAGTTTACAAATATTTTCTCCCATTTTACAGGTTGTCTCCACTCTGTTGATTTCTTTCTTTGCTGATTGCAGAAGCTTTTTAGTTGGATACAATCTCATTTGTCTGTTTTCATTTTGTTGCCTGTGTTTTTGAGGTCTTGCCTATAAAATCTATGCCTAGACCAATGCCCAGAAGCATTCCTCCTGTTTTCTTCCAGTAGTTTTATAATTTGGGACCTTATATTTAAGTCTTTAATTCATTTTGAATTGATTTTTTCACGTGGTGAGATATAGAGGTCCAGTTTCATTCTTCTACATATACTGTTTTCCCACCACCATTTACAGAAGAGTGTCCTTTCTCCAGTTTATGTTCTTGGTGCCTTTGTCAAAAATTAGTTGGCTGTAAATATGTGGTTTTATTTCTGGGTTCTGTGTTCTGTTCCATAGTCTATGTGTCTGTTTCCATGTTGATATTATGCTGTTTTGGGTACTATAACTTGTAGTATATTTTAAAATCAGGTAGTATGATGCCTCCAGCTTGATTCTTTTTGTTCAGTATTATTTAGGCTATTCAGCATCTTTTGTGGTTTCATACAAATTTTAATATTGTTTTTCCTACTACTGTGAAGAATGTCATTGTTATTTTAATAGAGATTGCATTGAATCTGTAGATTGCTTTGGGTAGTATAGTCATTTTAACAATATTAATTCTTCTAATCCATGAGCATGGAATATCTTTCTATATTTTTCTTTTTCAGTTTCTTTCACCAGTGTTTTGCAGTTTTCATTGTAAAGTGGTTCCACCTACTTGATTAAATTTATTCCTAAATATTTTATTTTTTGTAGCTATTGTAAATGAAATTGCTTTATTGATTTCTTTTTCAGTTAATTTGTTATTGGTATATAGAAACACTACTGATTGTTGTTTGTTGATTTTTGTATCCTGCAACTTTACTGAGTTCATTTATCAGTTCTAAGAGTTTTTGGTGGAATCTCGTAGGTTTTTCTACATATGAAATCACATTGTCTGCAAAGAGGGACAATTTCTCTTCCTGTTCTCCCAGTTTGGATGCCCTTCATTTCTTTCTCATCCTGACTACTCTAGCTAGGACTTCTAGTACTGTGTTGAATAAGATTGGTGAGAGTGAGCATCTTTGTCTTACTCCAGTTCTTAACTTTTTGATGAATCCAGGGTTTGTTTTTTTTTTTTTTTTTTTTTGGTATAATATCCCACATTCTGAATTTCTCCAATTGTTTTGCATGAGTGTGTTCAGGTGAAGAGCTTTGGGCATGGATTCTTCATGAGGAATGCTATGTGCTGCTTTGCTTCATCCCCCAGGTACCTGCCAAGGCCCTGCATGGAGACCTTGTGGGTGGGTGCATTTGGTGCATGAGGGTCGACTGGGGAGGGAGCTCTGCTGGCATTAATGGTGGAGGCCAGGAATGCTAAATGTGCAAGGACTTATCTCGAGTGCAAATAGCATTTTAGGGCGTATGTTGGCTGAGCAGCTGCCTGATACTGTAAGAAGTTAATTGTGGTGTCTGTGAGGAGGAGGGATTAGAATATGGAACAATATATGTAGAGCATAAAGAAAGAGATGAAAGGCACAAGACTGAAAGGAAGCCCATGGGAAGGGTAGCATGAGTCAAGTCCAGGTAGAGGAGATGGTCTAAGATGTGGGGAAGGTTTTTAGGAGAAAGGGGCAAAGTTGAGCCATTTCCGTTTATTATTTCTTAATTGATGTGAAACAGGAAACAAAGGCTTCCGTTAAGAATGAGGACTCCCATGTAAGCTATGGAATCTAGGGTCAGCTGCCAGTCAGTAAATGGATTGGCAACATGTGAGTGCCTCACAGAAGTCAGAAAATACCCAGGCAGTTCACATAGTTGTGTGATTTTCTCAGCCATGCTGGGGAAAGAAAATGAATGCTTGGCTTACCCATCATTTGCCAGTAGGCAAACATGAAGTGTCAAGAGAGCATAAGAATCTAGGCTAATGGAGAACTTGCCTGTGTTGTATGTAAATCCTCTGATTGATTTGGGGGATACCTGGTGGTGTTTTATTTTTCTTTGGGGTAACAAAGTATAGAAGCTCATTCAAACTAGGCAAATTGAGGGAGGTTACTGTAAGAATCCTGGGATTAATAGGTAGAATCACAGAGGAACCTAGAAAAAGAACTCTACTAGGGCTGGGCCTGCCTGCATTTGGAGATGGAGTTCTAGCTGCTCTGGGGCCCAGCAGCATAGCGGGGTGTTTGTACAGATGTGCTCGTCCTTGGCCTAACTTGGTGACAACTTTGCAGGTCCATTTCTTCCTGTTCCTCTACCACCTGGAAAATTCTCTTTGCTTCTAGTTAATTTTCCTACAAAAGAAAGAATTGGATTGACTCAGTTCACCTTTTTCTGCCATTCTGTAGATTTCTGGCCAGCTTATGTATTGGTGTTTGTGGGGTCAGATGGCTATCCCTAGTCTAATCACTTGTGGCCATTGGCAGGGGTTGGGGAACATACAGTGCTATGGGTTGTGGTGTCCTTTGAAGGGGCTGTGCCTGGGCAGGTACCTCTGCCACGTACACACAGTTTTCTCTCCATGCACATGGTTTCATGGTTCAACCAACAAAGTATTCCAGCTCCTTTCCACAGAGCCAGAGAGACCCTGTTGTGTCCCAAGTTGGGGCCTCTCCTAGGCAGGAGTGCCACCTGTGAACCTCGCTTCTCTGCGGGGCTGCTGGGGCTCTGCTTGCTAGCTTCGGAGTGCACAGTCTTCTTGCAATGACCATTCTTCTCTGACTCAGTCTGATAAAGGCTCTGGAGATGGTTCTGTCTTAACCCGTGGACTGCAGAAATGACCTGTGGTCATCCTTGTCCCTGTGGTATATTAGCACTCCCCCAGACATATTCACACACTCACATGTGCCATCCCCGTTTGATAGTCAAGAACACCCAGTTCAGCACTGTTGAGCTGCCTACTTGCCTTGCCTCTCAGTGGCATAAGGAATATGAAATGGCCAAGAGGTAGTCTCAGTTTCCAGTGAAGTAGCATAATTCAAGGTTGCCTGGAAGAAGTGCTCCAAGAGAGCAGAGCCCAGAATGATGGGCATGGAAAGAAAACATTTTGGAGAGTGTCTTTAGGGGCAGCTGGCTGGCACCACCTCCACTACTACCTTCGGGTTTTTGGACCTCCGAGTCTGTTCTCCAGGAGAGCCGATCCCATCTGTTGGTGGCTGGCCAGTGTGTGGTCTCTGCCCCTGAAGCAGGGACCCATCCCAGGTCTCTGTTAATGTACCTTAGAATTTTCCTGAAGCAGTTGGCATTTTAAGAATTAGTTACACTGAACTGGACTCATTTATTTTCTTTTTATAAATATATGTAATATAGATTTTTGCTATAAAGTATCACAAAATAAGATTATGTAATTTATTTATTTTTCAGTGTGATTATATTAATGTTCCAACTACGGTGTTTACTCCTCTGGAGTATGGTTGCTGTGGATTATCTGAAGAGAAGGCTATTGAAGTATATAAAAAAGAGAATCTAGAAGTAAGATTGTGTTTTATTACTTCCTTAAAAAATTCTCTTTTAATCAACAATTTGTCTTTGCAGTCACTTTTTATTTCATCATTTTGCAAGTTACTATGATGGTTATATTGCAGGAACTCACATTCCTATTTTAGGAAAATTAGCAATTAATTTAAACCCTGTCTAGCAAACAAGAACAATATGGTTGAGAAAGAGGGAAGTATAGTCTATAAGTCAGGACATTTGAATTACAAGTAACAAAAATCTATTTGAACAAACTTATACAAGGAAGCTCAAAGTTATTTTACTTCCACTCCTCCTCAAATTTGCTGGAATGTGAGCCCCTGTTATCGGGGTCAGCTGTTGATGTCAGGATCTCAGCCTTCACCTCTGCAGCCTTCACCTCTGCAGCCCACACAAGGGCCTGTGCCTAGTGTGCTGCCTTGGGTTGCTGATACTTTATACATGTTTGAAAACTAAATTTCGTATGTGGATTTTTGTTTGGACTAACAGCCAAGCATGCAAAACAAAGGTCAACACATGTATGCAGCTGGCGTTTCAGGAGCCTTGGCCTAGGTGCCCCAACAGATGTAAAGGTGGGGTTACTGAACTTTAAATTTATGAAAGCTGCTATGGAGATTATTGCCTTTATAGAATTAAAGAGCCTATCAAGGAATGGTTTCCATATACATTAATCCTGCCCTTTTTCTCTCTCTCATCTTCCAGATATATCATACTTTGTTCTGGCCTCTTGAATGGACAGTAGCTGGCAGAGAGAACAACACTTGTTACGCAAAGATAATCTGCAATAAATTCGACCATGTATGTAATGCCACTAGAAGCCAAAATGCTGTGATTTTTAAATGTAGCTTTTATTTTTAGTACTGTATTTGGATTTGTATACATATAAATTATATATATATAAATCCAAATACTAAAATATATATATATATATTTTGTGTGTGTGTGTGTGTGTGTGTGTGTGTGTGTGTGTGTGTGTGTGTAGACAGGATCTTGCCATGTTGCCCAGGCTGGTCTCCAACTCCTGGCCTCAAGTGATCCTCCTGCTTCAGCCTCCTGAGCAGCTGGGACTGCTACATTTTTATAATCTTTCTAAAGATAGTTTTCAGGACAATGCAGAGTGCCTCCATGTTGTCATCTAGTTAACATGTCACAGAGGCTCAGCAGTGACAGTTTGTAATTGAGCCTTACCAGTGTCCTCTCAAAGCATACCACTGAAAGCTGCCTTTTCCCAGGGCCATCTTGATAGCTTGATAGTTTAAACTTGATAGTTTGGAACTAGAAGATCTGTGAAAATTTTGGTCATCAAATAATAAATTGTAAGTTGTTTGTGTGCATTTTATAAACAGACTGAATGTGTGTCTAAAGTCTTTAGATGGAGATGTTCACGCAAAGTGAAACTCGGCTTAACTGAGCTAATTGCTGATGCTTTCACTAAAGCAGCAGCCCATCATCAGAGGCTTTCCTCCTGGTTACAAGGGGTTAGCATCAAAATGGTTAACAGCCTTCCTCAGTAGTGTAGTTTAAAGCACAGCTTATTTATAATTTGCTTTATAAAGAATTCTGAATGTAGAAAGCAGTGTTCAGACTTGGTTCTTCTCTTGAAGAGTTTATCATCTGTCTGGGGAGATGAAACATAAAAATAGATAAATGTGAACAGCAACAAGTGGCATTTACATAAAAGTTTACTGAACAGCAGTCATGATCTTGTTTAATTACCACATCTCTGTATTTGTCTTCTTCTCAGTATAACAGAAAACAGGGTGTCCCAGACTAGTAGCCCATTAGCATGTGCTCTGTTGCCTGAATGGTGAAGCCATCCAAAGCTCTAGGGCTTAGTCCCTTAGTAGTTGCATATGGGCTACAGGGCAGTGACAGGGATGGTGGTCATAATAGCCCCGAAATGCGCCAGGTTGGGCAGGTTTGCAGCTGTGCTCCTGAGGGTGGGTGTTCATGTGCTGGACTACATCCTGTTTCTTTGGGACAGAGTTATCTGAGGTCAATTTATGGCAGTTTGGGCAGCCTTTCCAAAGGGAGCAGAGAAAGACTGTATACAATGTTACCCTCTGAAAGCGAGAGGGTGGGCTTTGATGGGAGAGCCACAGCTGTAGCAGGAGTTGCAGCTGTCATGCTAGTTCTGACCTCCTCATGGGGTTGTGGGCTGCACCTCTGTGGCTGTCAGCCCCATTTCCCATCGCTGAGCCTTCTGCGCTATCCCACACTACCCCTCAGGACCCCACCCAGGTCCCCAGGCCACACTCTTGGCCTTGCTCTCTAACCATGGGAAACGTGCCCCTTCCCTTTACCCTGGCCACATGCCCGTTTCTTGAGTAGCACCCTCAAACTTACAAAACGGAAATGCTAGACTCTAGTTCTAGGGTCAGAATTGTAAATGAGACTTCCTTCACTCAGGACCTTCATTTTCAGTTATCAGTGGAAATTCTCATCAAGTGTCCTTACTTTGCTCTGAGCCACCCTCCTTTTCTGCTTGCTGAGCAACGCACCACCTCAGGTTTCAATGCAGTAGTCTTCTGTGGGCCCTGGGAAGTCACTCAGTAAACCCCAGCCCAGGCAGCCTCTGCCTGTCTCCCCTCTGGAGTGCCTTCCAGCAGATGCAGATGAGTGTGGCTGCTCTGAGCTGTTGCCTCCTCCAGAAGCTCAGTGGGTAAGGATTTTTCCTGACCCTGGCCTCTGTTGCCCTTTTGTAGTGTTTCTCTTCATCTCTTGTATACTTTTACTGTTGAAGGATACAATGAAGGATAGTCTGAGAAAGGAACATTGACAAATGGACAGCCTAGAATGCACTATTACCGTGGAAAGCGACTGCACATCTTGCTTGCCATCTTGGTGGGTCTGCTCATTGCCTACACCCTGTATCTCTCAGCACACAGTCCTGGGTGACAGCCCTGCACTAGCCTCTCCTCTGTCTCCACTTGATGTTGGGAGCAGGGTACCTTGCTTCCTGGGCCAGTAACCTCTGATTTCCAGTAAAACCTGCTGCCTTAGAGTTACTCCAGTGTTGGACTTTAATTCAGATTTGTTATGTTGTTGTTGAGCATTGTCTCAGCATAATTTGGAAATTTACATCATACTAATGAACTCCTTCATGCAGTGGGTAAATTGCTTGTTCTAGTAAATTTGAGTGCAAATTAACTCTGGATGTGCATTTACTGGCTCATTTAACAGATTCTTACAGTGGCTCACAGTTTCATGGTAATGTTCTCTGCTCACTTGACATTAAAGTTCTTTTTCTGTAGTAGATGCTGTATATTTTAACTGTGAACTTGCAGTGAATGGATTCGTATTCAGACCATTAACCTACCAGGATTCTCTTTGTTTTGTTTTTGTATTAAAGGATCGGGTGATAGGGTTTCATATTCTTGGACCAAATGCCGGTGAGGTTACCCAAGGCTTTGCAGCTGCAATGAAATGCGGGCTCACAAAACAGCTACTTGATGACACCATTGGAATTCACCCCACATGTGGGGAGGTAGGAAACAAGATGTTTTCAAAATTGGCTTCAGTTGATATAGTTTGAAAAACTATTATAAAGCACTTGTCAGAAAGATGTCATATTAGTAACTGATTTGTATATTTTATTTTTAATTTATTTTATTTTACTTTTTTGAAACAGGGTCTCTGTTACCCAGGCTGGAGTGCAGTGGTATGATCTTGGCTCACTGCAGCCTCCACCTCCCGGGTTCAAGTGATTTTCCTGCCTCAGCCTCCTGAGAAGCTGGGACTGCAGGTGTGCACCACCATGCCTGGCTAATTTTTGTATTTTTAGTAGAGACGGGGTTTCACCATGTAGGCCAGGCTGGTCTCAAACTCCTGAACTCAAGTGATCCGCCCATCTCAGCCTCTCAAAGTGATGGGATTATAGGCATGAGCCACCGTGCCTGGCCAGATTTGTATATTTTAAAGAATCGCATAAATGTAATATTCAGAATGTGTTTTCTTAAAGCAGTGCTAACTTCTAAATATGTATGTGTTTTCTTCTTCTTGAACAGGTGTTCACAACTTTGGAAATCACAAAATCCTCAGGACTAGACATCACTCAGAAAGGCTGCTGAGGCTAGGCCTGCTGCTGTTTAGTTTTCTTTGTCATTCTCATTTCTCTCAAAGATAAGAATGTTCTCAGATAAAATGAGCCTGTGCTCATGACAGCTGCTCTGTTACTCAGGGACCAGTACAGGGCTCTCTTATGACACTGAGATGAGAAAGTAGACAAGGAGACAGGACAGCAGCAGGCATCTGCCTTGTGGCCTCACTGACTGCGAGAAGCAGTGGGACTGCTTCCTTGACGCCTTAGCTCGCAGCCCCGTTATGAGGTGAGCCAAGGCTGATTCTCGCAAGCGAGGACTGAGCTTTCCTTGGAAAGACCTTTGAGTGGCACCATTCACCTAAGTTAGCTTTTCTGGTCGCCGGTTATCCCCTTTGCTTTGTTGTTTCTATGAAAATATATTTTCAGTTATGAAACTCTATAAACTGGTGGTTTTCTAGCATGTGGGCCTAGACGTCACACATGCTCGCTGGTGAACATGTGGGCTGCATTTGGGTAGCTGTGTTTAGAGGACCGTCTGCATTAGGAGGAAGCTGTACACATTGTGTAGGGTTAGTCATCTCTTTTCTTTTTTGAGTCACATTTAACCTACTGTCAAAACCCTGACTCATGCTTCACCCTCACACTTATTACTTGGTGGTGATAACCTCGAAGCTATTCTCCCCTAATTAATATCTCCACACTGAGCAAAATATCTCATATAAGATAAAAGTACTTGAATTTCTGTTTCACATTGATCTTAATAATATTTCCAAAAGTTTTTAATACTATATTATGTGAAATCTAATTTAAAACTGTGAAATAATTCCATCACAGCCTATTTAATAATGGTCAAGTTCCATAAATGAATATAAGTAATATTAAGTAGTTGCATTGGAATTTACAAACATGTCAGCATCTCAGAGGTCCTTGAAGATGGAAGCCTATCCAAGGTACTTATGGAAAACCTCTATTTTCTTGATTATGCAACACAGTAGCCAATACAAGACTCTTTTAGGCCACTTGTTCTTATGAGCCACACTAGCTGTTTAGCTTAAAATTGGATAGGCTGGAGTCGGAATTTCTAGCCATTTGTCTTAAAAGACAAATGTTAAGCCAACAGTTAGGGACACTGTTTGTAGATAAGCATTTTGCTAAACTCTGGAGGCAGGGAGTGGAGCAGCGGGGGAGTGGGACTGGGAACCCAGAGAAAACTGATGTAGGACCTAGTTATGGGAATGGCTTTTGTTGGGAGAAAAAATTACAAATGTGTCTAAAAGGTAAGGTATGGTGTGGTAATTGCTATCCATGTGGCAGAAACAGTGCAGCAGGAAGCAGAGGGAGATGTTATTAATTTCTATTGGCTGTGGGGCAGGGGTAGGGTAATTGAACAGAGTTTAATGAAAGTCGCCATATTTGAGCTGAATTCAGGGGATGAAAGGATTTTAAAGATTAGAAGCAATGTGGAGAGGGTGTGAATAATGCTTTCAACAGATTTGATTTAAATACTTGATGCAATATATTTTTAATAATTTTGTTATTATATTGCTTAGTGCCACATACACACAGAGCCAGCTTTTTCAGAATCCCAAATGAAGCAAAACCAAGAACGCTGGAAGCCTTCAGCTCCTACTTTGCACTGAGAAGGGGGCAAATAAATGAAATCTTAGGCTTGCACAGATGATGGAATTTCTAATAGGAAACCTTTGTGTAAAGCTGGAAGCCCAATGGACTGTACCCCAGTGGAAACTTGAATGGAAAACAGACTGCCTCACAGAAAGAGGCAGCAGAGAAGCTTGTCTTCTCACTGATATGGGTGGAAAGAAGCAATCCGTCTTAAGCATTTGTAACTACTGTCCAGGTTACAGACCATTGGAATGGCTCATTATTTTTCTTTCCCAAGGAAGGGAGGATGCTTACATACAAACCCATCTGTGTTGGCTTCCTCTCACCCTTTTATTTTCCTCTTTTTGTCTCTTCCTCTTCTACTTTTTTCCCTCTCCTGGCATAAATATGGTACCTATATATTAGTGAGAGGAATTTTACCTGGAAGATAAAACTAGTATGCATCTAATAACATAAAGATGTATATAGATCTGGAAGGAAAAATTGATACCCTCCATTATATATATTTCAGTAATTTATTAGGTCAAACACAAAAAAATCAATAAAGGTATATTTTTGAATAGCAGAATTAATAAACTCAACTCATAAAGATTACACCCAATATGAAAACATACTCATTTCAAGCATGCATGGAATATTTATGGAATTTGCCTTGTGCTAGGCCATAAAGGCTAGGCTTAAGAAATTTCGAAAGGCTAGTATCATATAGGCACGGGCAAGAGGATTTCAACTGTGGGACTAACTAGAAACCCAAAGACCGTAGACTCCATATAGCATGATGGAAAGTAGAGGGAGGAGTTGGTGTGAGGGAGGTGAGAGGTTAGTGGGAGAATAAGCTGAAGAGTTGGTAGAACCAGGAGCTACTTCACAGGAATCAGGGAGCTATAGGAAGCTCCTAGGTCTTGAAGAATGATAAACTTGGGAATGCCTGGTCTCTTGACTTACTAGATCTGTGATAGAATAAATTGCTTAACTTTTTCTGTTCTTCATGTATTAAGTATGGACAGTATTGCCTGTCTCACAGACTTAATAAGAATTGACCAACATTTATTAAGTTGTTAATGTAGCACACTGGTTGGAGAATCTTGGCTCCTATGATGATAACTAGGGTCCCATTAAGGAAATCTCTTGCAGACACTCAACAGTACAGCCAGTAGGCAGGCATACAGGAGGAAAGTGAACAAATTGCTGCTCTTGCAGACTTTCACTATGGAAGGCAACTTCCCAGATGGCTCCCAGGTTGGATCTCTACCAATGGGAAATCACACCTTTGTGTAGTCCCTACCTTGTTACACCAGGGGTGGTCTGTGTGGCCAGTAGCATATGGCAGAAGTGATGGTAAGTCCCTGCCAAGATTAGGTCATGAAGAGATTGCAGTTTAAGTTTTGGTCACCCTCATGCACTCTCTCAGGTCACTTGTTTTGGGAGAAGGCAGCTGTCATGTTTTGATGACACTCAGGATAACCATGGAGAAGTCCATATGGTGAAGAACTGAAGTCTCTAACCAACAGTCAGGAAGAAACTGAGGTCTGCCAATGTCTGCGTGAATGAGCTTGGAATGAATATTACTCCAGGCAAGCCATCCCTGAGCCAGCAGATTGACAGTAACCTTTTGAGAGACTTTGAACCAGAACTATTCAGTTGGCCATTCCAGATTCCTGACCCTTAGAAACTGTGAGAGAATAAATATTTGCAATTTAAGCTGCTAATTTTCAGAGTAATTTGTTCCACAACAATATGTGTAGCTAATGTATTCACCAAGGAAAACTAAAACCTGTACAGATCTAATCAGGTAAATAAAATGTCTTGGGGGACTTTCTTCCAAGGACAGATGAGAGAAACCTCATGTGGATTCTAAAATTCAGAAAAAAAAAAAAAAAAAAGGTGGGGAGGATTAGAGCATAGAATTAACACTGAACTTACTTCATAATTGCAAACAAGGAGACCCCAAGCAGGGAAGTCCATGGGATCTACTGGAGTGCCCTCTGAATTGGTGGTCCTGAGCTGTGGCTGTGACAGGTTCCTGCTAAACTTCTTTAAAGCATCTTTGTCAAAGCTTGCAACAAAGATTACTAGGTAAACTTGTTCATCAAACAAAGCTGTGTTTATTAAGCTTAGCAAGGAAGAGCTTGACCTTGACAGAGTGAAGATTCAGTATCATTGCAAATGGGAGTTAGGAGAGGCTACTTAGTGAGGTTAGGGTTAGTCAGAGGGTAGTTATAAGACAGAGATTAGTAAGTGGGTCTTGGCAGCCGTTGGTCAGAATTTGAAAACTAGTTACTGGAATGGTGTGTCAGTCTTATTTTTAGAATTGGGGGTATATGAGGCCATATTGAGTTTGTTACTGTAGTCTCAAAACGTGGATCTGAATGAGCTAGTGTTAAAAGATTTTGAACTTAATTTGTTATACAACATGGTTTGGCATGCTTCATCTGTTTTTGAGTAATAGTACACTTGTTAAGTTGTTGATTTTATTTTCCAGTGGAGAACCATCCAGTGCTTCTAAGCAGGGAATGACAGAGACCTGTTAGGCTTTTATTGCAAAAGATTATTAAATATTTGTTGACACTTGTTTCCAGCCATACTGGAATTACAGTGACTATACTCACTTTTCCTCCATAAACAAACTGGAGGAGATATGAAATGACTGCACCCAGGCATGTAACAACAAACTGCAAGACTGTGATCCCAGAGAGAAGGGAAATGAATAAGGTGATCCCTACGGTTGCCTCAACTTTCTTCATGAAACAAAGGAAGAACCCAGACAGCCTGATGGCCTTCAGGAGTTATGGTGGACATCAGAGTTTAGGGAGCTTCAGCAGCTGAAAGTTGTAGGTGAGACACAGGTGGGAGCTGTGGAGAAAAGAGCTCCAGAAATCTGCAACAAAAGGGTCCCCTTGAGTCTTTGCTAAGGACTTAACCACACATCCTTAGAATGAAGTTCTAGAAGGTTGATAAAAAAGTGACAGGAAGTTGTAAGTTGAGTAATTACTGGAGGTCTCAGAAAGTCTAGAAAAGTTCAAGCTCTGACCACCACAGAGGATTCTTCAATGATCCCTCCAGGCATTTTGTGGAGGCCTCATAAGGGGTCATGTCTTAATAGTAGGGTTTTTCTGGAGTGAAGGCTATCTGTCCTAGATAAAATTGAAAAATAGGCCTTGATGGAACCAAAATGATTCAAAAGTAACCTGCAAGAGAAAGCGTAACACTCTTTAAAAGAAGACAACAAAACATTCAACAATATGACAACCACAATGTCCAATATTTGGTTAAAAAAATTAACGCACATACTTAGAAGCAGAAAAATGTGACCCATAGCCAGAAGAAAAATCAGTGAGTAGAAACATACCTAGAAGTGACAGATATGATGAAATGAACAAGGATGTTAAGGCCATTATTAAAACTATGTACAAATATTTAAATGGAAACATAAACATAATGAGAGAAATGGAAGATGTTAAGAAGAACTAAATCAAACTTGATGAGATGAAAAATTACAATCTCTTTCAGGAGGCCTCATGAGGCATTAGCTAATTTGGTACTTTGCTGAAAGGACTCATAACTCAACATAAAGTTATACTCATGCCTCTGTATTATTACAGCAGTGAGTCAAGTGCAGGAACAATAAAAACAACCACAAAACAACAGGCAATGGTTAAGTCACACACAGACTTCTAAGACCTCCATGTCTCTTTGAAAGGCATACAGATGTGGTTTCCTCTCTAGCTGTGAACTAAAAGATACATGTGATATATCTCCAACCAGGGAAGCTCACTCAAGTCCTGGAGTTTGGAGTTCTGGACTGGTCACATAG